GCGACTTGTTTTACATGGGGGTGTAAGACAGGGTTTTTCTAGCACCGGTGTAAACGGTAGATAATCCTGTCTGACATGCAAGAATAAATTTTATTACCCCTCACTTCTTGTAATGTTAATTTCCTATAGGCCACTGGTAGTTATTGATACTGTTTTAGCAAGTGTACCACGTGACTAAGAAATTTGTACTGTCACAGTACTTTTTAACAGTATAAAAATCTGGTCACATGTTTTATATATTTTTTTCAACTTGCAAGGTAAGGATAGTCAAGTTATTCAACTTAATTGTTAAAATTTTTGGGATGATTTGTTTGGGGTTATAAAATAAATAACACATGGGTTAATGAGTTACAGTAAAATCCACCCTTGTGAAAATACTGTTAGCCGAGGGTAAAAGTATTTTCACGAGGGATGATTTTTTTTACTGTTACCCACAAACCCATGTGTTATTTTTATAATATTAACACACATGACATAACAAATATTTAAAAAAAACATAGCAACAGGAATTACACACACACCTTCAACATAAAATACAGAAAAGGTAACTTATTGATTAAGGTGTTGTAAATAGCAAAATTGTGGTTCTGACATTGAGAAATAAGTAAACATATGTATACATATAATAGTGATACAAGCAGTGAAAGCACTAGATAGTCAATGATATCCACAGATCTCTCACTTCCCTATCACATGCAATGGAATGAATTTTGCTTTTACTTTCAAACTATTAGCAAAGGCCCCTTCAAGCAGTTAGTCATCAGCTGGCAAAATCCCCATTCAAAACCATTACCATACTGCACGTATACATGTAACGTCGCTTTTAATTAGATAATCATGACGTTTATATAGTTTTATATACAAGGCTGCTGTCAACTTATAAAGGAATCTCATTTTTTCTCTTAAAAAAGGAAGTTTGCTGTATTATAAAATTCCTTACATGTATTCCTGACAGGTTATATGACCATACATAAACCATTACTTGCGATATAACCCTCGCCTAGCGGCTCAAGTTATATTTCCAAACAACCTTTTATATAGGGCCATATAATCTGTCAAAAAATCTTTATAACTCATGATATATACTACAAGTTGGGACATAACCATAGATATTTTGGTAATTTATTCATTTCCCTGCCCTTCCCTTAGATAGGGGTGGGGGTGGGGGCAGAAATACAGTTGTCGGTTACATATAACAACCAATTTTTATGGCATGACTTAAAACAATGTTAACGTCTTAGGGACTAAAAATCACTAGTAAAGGTAACATAAAGGTGATAGTGTCTGTGGTAACATATTATAATCAGGTCATATAATTCATTAATCACATCATATAAAGTACAACTACGTTTAATCTTTCATTTATATGCAGAAGTGAATATTACACTCCAAATTTACAATCAATACACATCAAAATAATCAGATATCGGGATAAAACATGTTAATTTTTATTCTTATTTTAATTCATTCTCAAGGATAATATAACTACACAAACTTTTGTAATATTTGAGAGTTCTAATTTACTTTAATAGCATGGAACTACATGTTGTTAAATTATCTTTGTTTCCCCCCCCCCCCCCCGGAAACCATGCAAAATTTATTTTACCATATATCGGTTTTTTTGTTACTTATTTACAACCATAGCTTTTTTTGCTTAGCAATAAATGTTTGGGTAGCAGTGATATTTTTGAGAAGGTACATGTAGGAAGGGTAACAAAGGTTATTTTCTTAAGGTCCAAATGCATTTAAAGATTAAAAATATCTTTAACAATATTTTCATGTTGTGTGCCCCTCATCCATTCAAAGATGTCTTTCATTTTTGTTCCTGCTTCAAGACGGTGACAATTTGGAAAGTTTGATTTTATTAGGTCTGGAAGAGAGAAGTAAAACTCGGGCAGGCCATGTGTCAAAAGTCCAACCACCTGGACCGACCTTTCATTATTATTTGTTAATGCTGGACCTCCTGAAGCCCCGTGTTCCATGAAACAGTCAAACAACAATTTGGATGGTAGATTATAGCCAAGGTAACCTTTGTTTACAATATCAGGGTTCCCTCCATTTTCTCGTATAACTGCCCTACACAAATCAAAATTTTGTTGAGAAAAAGCGTGTGCAGCCCGCAATCTGTCTGAATCCGGAGCTATGATCTTACATTTTGGATCTAAATGTTTCTTCATCACACCTGAAGGATGACCATAGCCAACCAGCGACACATTTGTGACGCGTATTTCACTTATATCATTCACACATAGGTTCATTTTCATTGGTAAACCACTTAGAGTATCTCCTGCGATTTTAAGAACTGCTACATCTAACTCTTTATTTTCGATAAATTCTTTTCTCACTTTGTAAACGGTAACACATGGTGAAATTAATGATTCGTTGAAGTTTATATAAGTGTCATTACTTTCAAGCCGACTGAAGTCACGATTTCCTGTTGTTATGAGGGTCTGAAACAAACAAATTATATTGAAATAAAGGACCTCCACTGAGGTCCAAAAGCCGACATCTTGATATTTTGATCAACTGGGATGTGTGAAACAGAGAGACATGCATAAAAATCAACTAAGAAATATCCTTAGAGATAAATTGAAAATCATACTTTTATTCATTTTTAAAACCGGATTTGAGTACACTTTTCAATTTAAACACTTTACAATTTTTGGTCATTTTTCAAATTAGAAAAAATGGAGCGAGAAAATGATCTGAAAATTTTGCACACAAGTTATTTGTCAAGCCTTACATCAAATAGAACATTATTCTCAAAAATATATTTCCAGTTCTCTCAAATAAAAAAAAAACAAACTCAGTACAGACCCTTTAAAATGTTGAAGATTTAAAAAAATATATATCCTTCAAACATTCTGTGCTTATTTTTACACTCATCTTTGCTTTTCCAATTGCTTCATCAACAAACTACTTTGTCTAAAACCTTTCTATGAGACCAAAATAGGTTTTAATTTAAATATTTTTCACAAGACCAAAGGGTCATTATCATTGTAAGTCATTTATCTAAGTACAATTGCTTAAGTTTTAAAATTGTAGTTGTGTAAATTGATTTTGAAATAAGCCAATGTTTTGTCAAATTATCAAATTTTTGTATATAAATACTCTCACTATCCACTTTACATTCACATGCATATTTAACAATTAAGTAATTTAATGCATACAAAATGTAAATGTAATTAATCAACTGAAACCTTAAGAAGAAAAAAAACTGACTCTCATGAATAATAGAATATCATGTAGGCATGATAGTTTCTAAGAAGAAGATTTATTTAATTTCATTGTGAAAATGTATTTTTAGCTCTTGTTACTGACTTGTGCAAAATACAATTTTTCTTGACATCCTCATAAGCATTATTCCTGAGAAATTTTATCTAAATTAGGGAGATATGGTCATTCAAATCAAGTATAACTATGGACTGAAAACATTTATTTATATCTACTTAGGATGTATAAATTTAAAATGAATGACCATCTTCAATTTTTTTTTTTTGAAAGTTGTTGACAGAAAAAATTGTATTCCCAATACTTTACCTATCACCATGGACACGACATGTGATGCCGTCATCACATACTTGGTGCCGACCCTAAAGACAGTTCCTACGATGTTACCGGCAGATATGAGAGCTCCTACTGATTTCATTTGTTCACCTAATGCAGCTACCATGCTTTGGCTTAGCGTATCGTCATTTTCTTTCTTAAACGGCTGACCGGAGGATAGAAAACTTCCATGTTGTGGTTTACCGACGTCTGGCACAATGCTCGTCATTTCTCCTAGAAAAAGTTAAACATAGGTTATTTCAAACAATGTCACAGCACATTATACAAATAATAACTTACTGACTTGCTTATTCAAGCTCAATATGAATGTTTTTAGAAGTGTTTTCAGTCACATCTCCACCATCAACGCCACATTTAAGTTTTTTCGAGAAAGTAGACAAAAGGTACACCTTTGCAATTTTGCTTGATGCCTTTAGCAGGTGGTTGCCTGATCAACTTGGACTCGAAAGTTCTTTGAATCATGAGCGAAGAAAGTAACTACTTAATCTAGATCATGTAAGTACAGGAAGAAAGGAAGACAGAGCTTTTTACAGATTGGCTTAGGTGAAGAACAGTTTAAATATTCTGAAAGTTAACAGCAAACAATCTTTAATGATTTATGTGAACTAGCAAAATATTTGTTATTACATACATACCTCTTACAGTAGGCAATTGATTATAGCTTGGAAAGCCACTGACTTGTGTAGCGGGTCCCATTGCCATATTTGATATTGCAACTTTTCCTCCATGTATGTTGACAGAACCAAAGCTTGTATCTCTACTGCCGGACCCATCAAAACTATCTGATGCAACATTACTTGAACCTATTTGAAGAACAATTATCAAAATACAGAAATAAGTACAAAAAAGCTATAAATTTTGAGTATGTTGGTTTATACAGAATTGATTTCAGTTGGACAGTGTAGGAAGCGATGAGTAATAGACACATCTTTGAATCTATTTCTGGAACCAAACAGTACTGAGCAATGAGTGTAAATTTTCTTGACAAAGAAACCTGACTGGGCTTGAACCCACACATATAGCAATTGTTAGAACACTAGATTAAAGCCTTGACCACTCAGCCATGAGTGCATGGTTGTAGAATTCTGAATAAGACATGTTTTGAGTTCAAATGATCAGGAATATAATCAAGAAGGTCAACCCCAGTGATTAAGTACAATGCATTTGAATGATTAAAGGCTTGAATAATAGTCTGAATGATAACAGGTTATTTAACATCGAAGGGTACAACACGTGAATATATTTGAACTCGTACACAGCTGGTGAAACAATATTGGACGCCACCAGGTGAGTGTGTCGGAGTCCAAACATATTCAAGAATTGTACCTGTTCATTGTTTAATAATCTGTTTATTCTTTATATGAATCATAACGAGGACACGCAAACAAGAACCGATCATTATTATTCAGATAAGTCAGATTGGTTTATGTAAAACGCCTTCAACGATCTTATGTAAAATTTATTCAGATAATTTTGTTGTTAACAGCTTTTATCTTTAACATCAAATGCACTCAATTGTCCATGTGGAAATATATTGGATGGTCAGTTTTGGTCACATGGTACAATTCAAAAGCAACGATTGGATGCTAATAATCGATACAGAACATTTCTTTTTATTTACTACTTAATGAACAGAAGAAAGAATCTGGGTATGATTTGGAAATTATGCTCACAACTTGAGTACCAAGTATTTAAAAATTATCTCCCCTTGACTTAGAACTTTTCTTGAATTATACAATAAGAGTGGAAATTTTCTTTCTGAACAAAAGCCAATTTTTCCTACCCACAAATTTCTGTTATTGGCTTTTTATTTTCTAATTTTTAATTTAGTAACAGTCCCCTGTATCACTTACTTGATGACTGAGGCTGGTGCATACCCAATCCTCCAATTGTCACATCTCCGCCATACACATTAAAGGATGACGGTCCAGCTGGTGGTCCAGCTGGCCTATAGGAAGCTCCACTTCCAGGACGATCATGAAACACGTCACCTTGGTCAAAGCCAGTCTTGCTGAATGATATTTTCTGTATGCGCGCAACAGTGGCAGGTTTAGCTTCTGCATTAGCTGGAATGATTAAAATGGAAGGCGAATTGAAATGCTTATAATAGAGTTATTTTGAGAAGGCACACAAACAAGATATTAAGGACATATACATGTTCTAATGTTAGCAAGAACTCAAGTTAAGGGTTCCTATGGTCTATCATTTTAAAAATACCAATTTATATTTGTCTATCATTTTAAAAATACCAATTTATATTTTTTTAAATCGAATCAATACAATATTGCTTATATTTGCACCAAGTTAGAAAATAAAATTAACTGATATCAAGTGTCTGTTTAAAATGTAAAAAATGTAATGTGGCCTCCAAAAGGAATAAACATCGTGTACACAACAAACCATTTTTCTATTTTTAGCTCCTGTGACCTAGTTTTTCATCAGAGATGACCCATGTTCGATTTAATCCCAGCAATGACCTAGACAAGTTTCCTGACCAAGTTTGATGACAATTGAGTCAAAATTGTGACCACTAGAGTGTTAACCCTTTACCCCATATATACGCGAAACAACGCGCTTTAGACCCCCCCCCTTTTTTTAGGCCTCAAAGAGTGAAAAAATGTCCTATTTGGGCCCCAAACACATGTTTTCGTTTGAGAAATGTTGCTAAAAAAATTGAGCACTTCTTCGGCGCCGCCCCCCATCCAAAAGATACATCAGGGGGTTGCCAGAAGGGGGATGTGCCCCCTTCTGTTAGGGGGGGTTTGAAGGGGGGCGGAGTCCCCCTCATCGCCAAGAAAATTTTGGACTTGTGAGAAGCTAAAAATGACTCCAGGTCAATCATAATGTAACGTGTAACCAGCGCTGAAAAGTCTTTGACTCTATCTCAATCCCTTGAAAAGTTGCAGCACTTTGAAATAAATTTTGATGGAAAAAATCGAGGCAAAATAGTGATTTTTGGCAATTTTGAGATGCCCCCTCGTTGCCATGGTAACAGGAAATTTAAGACGGAGAATGTCGTTACAAAGGCAATGGTCCAGTCAACATTTGTGCCAAGTTTGATTAGTATTGAAGCATTTTTCATAGTTTCATAGCAGTTTGAACTTGTAACAGGAGGCTTTTCAGTGAAAACGGCCATTTTTCACAATATGCTCATGGGGGAAAGGGTTAACAAGGTTTTTCTATTTTTAGCTCCTGTGACCTGGTTTCTCATCCAAGATGACCCATGTTTGAACTCATCCGAGCAAGTACCTAGACAAGCATCCTGATCAAGTTTGATGACACTTGTGTCAAAAATGTGACCGCTAAAACGTTAACAAGATTTTTCTATTTTAGCTCCGGTGACCTACTTTTTCATCCGAAATGACCCATGTTCGATTTAATCCCAGCAATGACCTAGACAAGTTTCCTGACCAAGTTTGATGACAATTGAGTCAAAATTGTGACCACTAGAGTGTTAAGAAGGTTTTCTATTTTTAGCTCCTGTGACCTAGTTTCTCATCCGAGATGACCCATGTTCGAACTCATCCAAGCTATCACCTAGACTAGTGATGGAAATCGGATGAAATTTGTCCTAATCGATCATCGGTTCAGTCGGATTGGACATAATCGATGACTTTTCGAAAAAAGTCGCGTTAAAAAGAAATATTGAAGTAACATTTCGAAATCATCCGAGCTATCACCTACACAAGCATCCTGACCAAGCTTGATGATGATTGAGACAAAAATGTGACCGCTAGAGAGTTAACATGGTTTTTCTATTTTTAGCTCTTGTGACCTAGTTTTTCATCCAAGATGACCCATGTTGGAACTCATCCAAGCTTTCAACTAGATAAGCATCCTGACCAAGTTTGATGATGATTGAGGCAAAAATGCGACCGCTGGAGTGTTAACAAGGTTTTTCTATTTTTAGCTTCGGTGCCCTAGTTTTTCATCCATGAGATGACCAATTTTGACCCCAGGGCTTTAATTTGAACAAACTTGATAGACACTCACTAGAAGATGTTTCATGCCAAATATCTAAGCTCTAGCTCTTTGGGTTTTTTAGAAGAAGATATTTAAAGTTTTTTTCTTTTGGTTGCCATGGCAACCAGAGTTCTCCATGGAATTGAATTCTTTGAACAATTTTCAAAGGTGACCACCAAAGGAACATTCCTGTGAAGTTTGGATGAAATTGGCTTAGTGGTTTATGAGGAGATGACATTTAAAGTAAAAGTTTCCGGACACCGGATGGACGGACGCCGGACTAAAAGCCATCACAAAAGCTCACCCTGGCACAGTTTGAAAAACCTTAAAGAAAATGTAACATAATTGTTAATGCGGTAAAAGATGTAAAAAATCCATAATGATGTCATACGATCAAACTGCTGTTTAGGCACAATGCTGTAAGCCATTTGGTAGTTTGTACTGGCATTCACAAATGCTGCAGCAAGTAGCTTCTTAGGATTCTCTCCACAATCGACCACCACATCATGCCATCCCTTTAACATCTGGTATATCCTAACCTGCACCTGTTACATATATGAAATTGGTTATAAAATTTTGGACAGGTTATATGGCCATATATATTAACAGTTGATTTTATATAAAACCAGAGACACTAGGGGAATTATATTGCAAACAACTGTTCATATACGGCCATATAACCTGTAAAGAATCTTTAAAAGAAATTTATAATACAGCAAACTTCCTTTAAGAGGAAAGTATAAGGTTTTTTAATAAATTGACAGCATTTATGTATATAAAACTATATAAATGTCATGATTATCCAATGAAAAACGATGTTACAAACGTGTAGTATTATATAACAAGAGGGCCATGATGGCCCTAGATCCCTCCCCTGGCCCATCAACCACATCCAAGCAATGTCTTAGACAAGCATCCTGGCCAAGTTTGATGACAACTGAGTCAAACATGTGACCTCTAGTGTGTTAAAAATGTTTTCCATATTTGGGCAATGTGACCAAATTTTTTGACTGGAGACGACCCATATTCAAACTTGACCTAGAAATCATCAAAACAACCTTCCTGACCAATTTCCAGGTAATTTGGATCAAAACTGCAGCCACTAATGTGCTAAAAAGATTTTTCTATTTTTAGCTCCTGTGACCTAGTTTTTGACCGGACATGACCAATCTTCGAACTTGACCTAGAAATCATCAAAACAACCTTCCTGACAAATTTCCAGAATATTTGGATGAACTGCAGCCACTAGAGTGTTAACAAGCTTTTTCTATTTTTAGCTCCTTTGGCCTAGTTTTTGACCGGAGATGAACTATCTTCAAACTTGACCTAGAAATCATCAAAACAACCTTCCTGACAAATTTCCAGAATATTTTACTCAAAACTGCAGCCGCTAGAGTGTTAACAATCTTTTTCTATTTTTAGCTCCTGTGACCTAGTTTTTGACCGGACATGACCCATCTTCAAACTTGACCTAGAAATCATCAAAACAACCTTCCTGACAAATTTCCAGAATATTTGAATCAAAACTGCAGCCACTAGAGTGTTAACAAGGTTTTTCTATTTTTAGCTCCTGTGACCTAATTTTTGACCGGACATGACCCATCTTCGATTTTGGCTTAGATATCATCAAAGAAACCTTCCTGACAAATTACCAGAATATTTGGATGAAAACTGCAGCCACTAGAGTGTTAACAAGCTTTTTCTATTTTTAGCTCCTGTGACCTAGTTTTTGACCGGAGATGACCCATCTTTGTACTTGACCTAAAAATCATCAAAACAACCTTCCTGACAAATTTCCAGAATATTTGGATGAGAACTGCAGCTGCTAGAGTGTTAACAAGCTTTTTCTATTTTTAGAATCTGTGACCTAGTTTTTGACCGGACATCTTGACCTAGAAATCATCAAAACAACCTTCCTGACAAATTTCCAGAATATTTGGATGAAAACTGCAGCCACTAGAGTGTTCACAAGCCTTTTCTTTTTTTAGCTCCTGTGACCTAGTTTTTGACCAGAGATCCTAAAAGCTCACCCTGAGCATGCTTAGGTGAGCTAAAAATATATATACAGTGACCACCACTTTCTGTACCTTTTGTTCCATACAGAAAAGAACATATATAGTAAAACTTGTCCATGACAACCACTGTCTGTATGCTAAAGACAACCAATATACGTGTATATATCATATAGATTGTCTTAATTTAATAAAATACAATGTAAATGAAAAGGTAAATAATTGCATTTATTGGAAATAATGGAATGTGTGTAGATTAACTTTTTTTAAGGAAATTTTACTTACATCATCATTAAAGGCCCATTTCAAGGCATGGCCCTGAGCCTCAGTAAAGTCCAAGTGTATTCTTAAAGATTCCCACTCGTAGCCTATTGGATAATAAAACAAAATTTTAAGGAGAGCAGTAGCTTAGTGGTTACGAGGTTTGGGTCACAATAGAGGGATTCAGGGTTTGAGTTCTACTGCAGCCACAACCATGTTTTTTTTAAATATGTGTTGCACTTCTTTAAATTAAAATTATATTATATATAGGCAATAAACTTTAGTGTGACATCGCCATGGCAATGTAATGAATTTATTAGCTAAAATTTGACTCACATATAACCAATTAGCATTTTTTTATTCAATATTTTTTGCGATTCAGAGTAGAAATATATATGTATAAAATAAAATATTTAAATAATCTTAGTACCTTTCAATCATAATAAAATTGTACATTTAATACAAACAAGAGGGCCAAGATGGCCCTGAAATCGCTCACCTGTATATTGGGCCCCCAGACCGGGGCCAGTTTAAACCCCAGGGCTTTTATTTGAACAAACTTGGTAGACACTTATTAGAAGATGTTTCATGCTAAACATCTAAGGTCTAGCTCGTTGGGTTTTTTAAAAGAAGATTTTTATAGTTTTTTCTTTACACATATATTTAAAAACAATGACACCCCTGGGGCAGGGCCAGTTTTGACCCCAGGGCTTTTATTTGAACAACATTTGTAGACACCTACTAGAAAATGTTTCATGCTTAATATCTAAACTCTAGCTATTCGGGTTTTTCCATGAAGATTTTTAAGTTTTTGCTATACACATTTAAGGAAAATCTATGTCCCCCCGGAGCAGGGCCAATTTTGACCCCAGGGCTCTTATTTGAACAAACTTGGTAGACATCCATTAGAACATGTTTCATGCTAAATATCTTAGCTCTAGCTCTTTGGGTTCTTTAAAAGAAGATTTTTAAGGTTTTACTATATTCATATAGGGAAAATCAATGACCCCCTGGGGCGGGGCCAATTTTGACCCCAGGGCTTTTATTTGAACAAACTTGGTAGACACCCATTAGAAGATGTTTCATGCTAAATATCTTAGCTCTAGCTCTTTGGGTTCTTTAAAAGAAGATTTTTTAAGTTTTTACTATATACATATAGGGAAAATCAATGACCCCCTGGGGCGGGGCCGATTTTGACCCCAGGGCTTTTATTTGAACAAACTTGGTAGACACTCACTAGAAGATGTTTCATTCCAAATATCTAAAATCTAGCTCTTTGGGTTTTTTAGAAGAAGACATTTAAAGTTTTTTCTTTTGGTTGCCATGGCAACCAGAGTTCTGCATGGAATTAAATTCTTTGAACAATTTTCAAAGGTGACCACCAAAGGAACATTCCTGTGAAGTTTGGATGAAATTGGCTTGGTGGTTTATGAGGAGATGTCATTTAAAGTAAAAGTTTACGGACGCCGGCCAGACGGCCGGACGCCGGACGAAAAGTGATCACAAAAGCTCACCCTGTCACAAAGTGAAAGGTGAGCTAAAAAGAAAACAGAAAAATCATAATAAATCAAACTGAAACAAACAAAATCTCAATCACATCATATCAAAATATTAACAACTTGTCCAGTTTTATATAGAGGATATTTGTTTAGTTCAGTGTAAGATCGGAATATATTTCACCGAGAGAGCACCAAAAGGTATATTTCACGAGTGGCGCAGCCACGAGTGAAATATGAACTTTTGGTGTTCACAAGGTGAAATATATTTCGATCTTACACTAAACTAAACAAATTTTCTTTTTATTATATGCAAAGAAACGTTTTAAAAAGACATCAAACCTAATACTGAATGAAAAGCGCGCCAAATACTAATTCAACGCGACGTCATTTACGATGTCACGTCATTAAGTTGGTACCCAGTTATGTGCACGCTGGTATTTCACTGAAACAACGTAAGGGGCTTAAATTCAAAACAGTGAAATTATCAAAGTGGTAATTTCACTGTTTCAAACAGTGAAATTACCAGTTTTATATCACTGATATATTTCTATAAACCACCGAAAAGCATGTAATAAATAGTATTATTACAAGCCCATTTACTTAAACAGTAAGTAAAACCATACTAAGTAATATCATTTTGTTCAACAATAACAAACACAAATTTATTACATTTTGACACTGTTGATGAAAACTTTTTAAGTCGAAACATTGTGTTTTTTTATAAAACAATAAATTATGCCGGCGCGCCACGGCGAGCCGGTATTACGCTAGGATTTTACTGAGAAACAACCTAAAACTCCGAATCCATCCAAAAATTTAATCGAAGCTTGGCTTCCAGCTTTCTACAAAATTTATCTATCAGGGCTAGGATCCAAAATTATTTAGCCAATCAAATTTGATCTTACATAGCGTCAAAAAACCTTCAATTTTCACGCCATTTTTAAAAAGCAGCAAGTATTGTTTTGAGCGCAAAGATATAATGATGATTAAAATGTTTGTTTTTCATGGATTCTTTTCAATAAATAATATTTACACTGACTTTTGATTTAGCGATTTCACCAGTCCTGTTTTCTCTGTAGTAAGTTTTCGTTTGGTTAATTAACATTAACGACATCTGGTTCTGTGCATTTTTTTCTTTTTCCTTTTTTCCGGTCATTTCTTTCCGGTATTTAGTGTATGTATTTACTGGCCGGGATCCGGGACGCCCGGGATCCGCGATCGTATAAGATATAGAGGAAATATTTGTGTTGATAATTGTCGTAATGAAAGGCCATTAAACGTTAAGTTTTTTTATTGTATGTAATGAACGTTAAATGAATTTAACTTAGGATATAGATATATTAAGAGCTATTTATTAACAAAATCACAATAATTATAATTATATGCCTAATTAATTGGAAAAATCAAAGACTATATTCTTGAATTGGTCAAATCCCGGGATCCCTATATGTTTTAATAAGATCCCAGCTTTTCTGAAAACAATATTCTTGAACTGGCCAATTCCTGGGATCTCTTTATATTTTAATACGATCCCGGCTTTTCTGAAAACTAATTTTTTACCCCAGACCATTTATTAAAGTAATATATATGTATATGCAATTATGTTAACATTAAAGATCTAAGTGAGACCATTACAGAACAGTTTGAATTTTCAATTTATCTCTACTAATAAAAAAGTTATGATCTTTTAAAGTCATAAAATTTTGTCGACTTTTTAGAATTTTTACTCTTATATGTTTATATAGTTCGATTCGCGGAACGCGGAACTCGATTTCGAGTTTTATTTAGTTTTTCTTTTATAATTTTTTTAAAAATTTAGATATCTGCATGAAAGTTGGTCATCTTTTGTATTTTTTCCTGCTCTTTTCATTAACTATATTCTTGAACTGGTCAATTTCCAGGATCCTATTTTTTAATAGGATCCCGGCTTTTCTGGCTGAATTGATTGACAACATGTGTTTACTTTAGGACTTGTGTCTGTCACTCATTCCAATACTAAATAACATATTACAACTTAACTTCGTATAAAGAGACATCTTTATGAATTCTACTTATCTAATTTTTTTTCTGGTCAAGATCAACAGGCCATATAGTAAATGTGCATAGACATAGGGACTTCATTCTATCTGTTTACATGCATCTTCATATATACTCATATTCCTTTTTGTTAAACTGAGAGAACTGGCTTCCATAACTTTATATGTCACTTTTATTTTGATGTTCGCTGAAGTCTCTTCAGCTAACAGAACTGTCATTTTTACATTTAAACACACCCCTGGAAAGAAATTACGAAGCGAGTCGCTACTAGCTTTTTTAAAAGCTAACCTTGTTTAAATTTACACTGGAGTTGATTTAAATATTCAAACTTACATAATAATGTATTGTACTGTATTGTATTGTATAGGAAATAAATATTTACCAATCTTTTTACTCAATTCGAGAATTTCTTTGTCTGTCATTGCATGTGGATTTTCTATCTTCGGTTTTTTAGGTCTGTCTGGTACAAACTGTCTACCCTGATCTCTTTCAAATATAGCAGACATTGGCTGGCACCCTTGAAAAATTAACACTACTTTGTTTAACTCTTTTGCTATTGGGAGTATAATTGATAGATATTGTGTAACGGCTATATACAAATTCAAGGCGGGGCAATATACACCCCAATGCAATCTCATTTAAATCATATCCTAAATAACACACCACCACTTTCCGCTAGGTAGCGAAGAGTAGCAAAGCCAAAACGATGATCTGATGTTAACAAGATTGACCCCCAATGCAGATTTATTTGAAGAGTCAAATAAAATCTTTCAATCAAAAGTAGACAACCATTGAACATTTCATAGTCATCACAGTTTTAATTCTAACAGGAGCTTTCATGAAGACAATATACTAAAATATACAGTGGCGGCATAGCCCATTGGTTAACAATAATTACATGTCCGACAAGTAATTTAAAACAATCAAAATTATAAATAATTTCTGTATAAACCAAAATATACAGTTCTCACTATTTGATAGTGAAACAAACACCTAGTTAAAGCCTGAAATTTTGTAAGCCCTCAAAGAGCCAATATTCAGTAAAAATCCAAAATGAAGTTACTTTCTGACATTGTGGCTTTAAATTTAAGAAATAATATATCTCAAACAGTGATTTTATCGTTCAATAACATCACTGTTTGGAGTTCGGATGCGAGGAATTATATCACGAGGGCGTAGCCCAAGTGATATAATGATGCGCGTCCGAACGACAAACAGTGATGTTATCAAGCGATAAAATCACCGATTTGAATATATTATTTCGATTCTAACACGACATCAATAAATAAATGCTGCCGTATCTGATATTATGAAAAATTGCGCCTGATTTGTTTCCGTATTTATTTTAAGCGCGTCAGATTCTTTACATGATTGTATAACACACATGTATAATGATTACGTCACATCTCTAAAACTGTGACTCTGTTGCATAATAACACACAGTTTCGGTTCTTCTATATTCAATAGTGAAAAATGCGGGTCGTGTTAGAATTGCATATAAAAACCTAACCAGAAACTTCTATGGGAAGAATTCATTTAAAATTGATTATACATGGTATAAAAAATTGGGTTTGCATACTGACCTACAATTTTGACATTAATGTGATAAGTCAGAGTGAATGAGATATAAATATGAACTTTGATCAAGCATGATCAAGCATAACACTGATGCTTGCACTGATGTCAGGGTAAGTACATGTAGGAAAATCCCACTAAACCTTCAAATAGTCAAATTAAAAATTAAAATGTAATTTAAAAGTAGTAGCCATAGTTACCACTGATATGTGCATTCTTTGATAATTCTTCCAAATTATGGTTACTTTTTTCAACCGTCTCTTTCAATATTTTCACCAAATCAGATATAGCTTTAACATTGTCTTCCATTCTTTTCATGTTAGCTTGAATCTACAAGGAAAAGAAATATAGAAAAGTCACAAACACATTGACTATTCATATCTAAAAGCACCTTTGAATGTTGTTGTGTTTTAAGTGAAAGGCCTGCATCATATATAGAACTTTATAAATTGTAACAAGAGGGCCATGATGGCCCCTGAAATCGCTCACCTGTATATAGGCCCTTGGGGCGGGGCTAATTTCAATCAAGGGGCTTTTTTTTAACCAACTTGGTAGAAACCCATTAGAAGATGTTTCATGATAAATATCTAAGCTCTAGCTTTTTGGGTTTTTTAAAAGAAGATTTTTTAAGTTTTTATTATAGACATAAAAGGAAAATCAGATCCCCAGAGTTATGGGACTTGTGCCAATCATAATCACAGAGAACAAGTGTGTTAAGTTTCAATCCATTCCCTTCCGTAGTTATGGAGATACCAGCTTACACGCAAAAACTTAACCAAGAATTTCTAAGTTGAAAAAGGGGCATAATTATGAAAAAAAAAAGCAAATCAGAGTTATGGGACTTGTACTAATCATGTTATGAGATACCAGCTTACACGCAAAAACTGAACCACAGGGACGCCGACACTGACGCCGACAAATGGGTGACTGCATTAGCTCAATTATTCTGTGAATAGTCGAGCTAAAAACAGAAAACGGTTAAGAAATTTAACTGGTTTAAAGATTGACTTCAAAACAAACCTGACTGACGTCATCTTGTGTAGCAATGCTGCCCAAATTCTCAAGAACACTGCTAACTTGAGACTGAATAGAGGACAGAGTGTCTTCCGATGTGACATTTGAGCGTGCTGCATCTGTTTCATCTGCTGGAGTTTTCAAACCGTCAACCTATATAAGTCATTCTATATGAATATATCATTACATATTATTATATATCAATCTGCCAATCTAATATTTACTTTGCTGACAGCCATCATAACATCTGCAAAATTATATAATACAATATTCAAGTCAAATATTTTTTGATATAATTCAGCTTCTCGAAGTTTTGCAAATTCATATGTCAAATGTCTCTGTCATATTAAGAAGTTACATGTTAGTTAACCCTTTCTCAGATGACCATGATCATCAAAACCTTGTACTAGAAAAGTCACCATTGTATGGGGAAAAAAGTTTATATATATAAGTCAGATACTGTGTAGCTAATGTTCTAGGTTGAATAAATTGTACAATCTCAACTTTCTTTCACCATTTCCATTAATCTTGGGAGAAGGAAGTAATAATCATCAAGTTGTCCCAATTGTTAACTATATTGGTTCTTATCTTTAATTTATTTTGACCTTTAACCTTAAATATGCAAAAAGTCAAATCATCATAGGGAACTACAAAATTACATTGGAAATATCTACTAGCTATAACATTTTTTTACAGAAATTATTGCCCTACTGAAACTCCAAAACTTCACTTTACCTTTAAGTGAAGGTTTTCTAATTTATTTGATATATCGGACAGCTGTACTTCAGTTTTCTTATTGTCTTCTTTCTGCCACTCAATAAACACCTGCAGCAACTTCTTCTCCCTATCATGGAATGGTTCAAGCACTCGAGTCTCTGCACTCCTGATCTTTTCCTTGACTTTGTCTTTTTCTGATGCATCAATATTAGCAGCTAACCGTAAAAGAACAATTTCTACATTACCCCAAATCTTTTTGTAGTCTTCTACTTCTAATTGCGCCTTATTGCGATGTGCAATAATTTCATTTCTTATTTCCCTCAGCCGTAGTAGATCCGCTCCTAAAGAAATGTCTGATGGATCCGGAACTTTCCCCCAACCATCTTTTGGTTTACTTATTCTACAAATTTTCTGATTTGTAAGAAGTGTAGTTAACAAAGAAATATCATATGTGTCAGGATCAGGTTTATTTGTAACTTTGGCATACTGGACTTCTGTCAAGGCTTTTTTTCCCTTCAGTCTTTTAAATTCAGACTGAACTTCAGGAGTTGCAAACAGTGTGGCAACATTTAATTTCGGCACTTTCCAGTAAAAAATATCTCTCAAAGTTTCAGTGCCCACATCAACAACAAGAGAGATTATTCTGTAAAAATATGCTGAGCTTTCTGTACTGTCAGACATCGTGTAAGCTTTGTATTACTGTAAACACGTTTTTTGGTCAAGAAACCTTCCTTTCTTCCTGAAAATTAAGAAATGATAGGCATAAAACTCTTACTTGTGTTTCACTTTAAAAGCCCATCATCATTTTTGTTTTTGTTTACATGCATGTTAGTCCTTGAAACATAGACTTGGAAGTGTCATTGCAAATTGTTATTTACATTCTGAGCTTTTTTATTATATGAATTTTGGCCTACTTTCACTTTTCACCCACTAAGTGAAAACACACATGGCTGACAATGCTGAATCACCTTAAATACATGTACTGAAGGGACAGATTTTGGATTTAGTTAGTATTAAAAGAACAAAAAAACAAAAAAAAAAATTATTTTTTCAATATATATGTTCCTTTTAAATTAAACATCACTCAGATGACTTCTACAGATACAGTACTGGGATCCTAAATATTTACAGGACAATCAGTTTACCGGACAAAAACTATTACTGCTGAATAGTGCTTTATTTTTTGCTTCGATTCAAAAATCATACAGTCTGCAGTGTTTTTTTTCTCACTTTTCCGGGAAGGGGGTCAGTGCCGTTTGGAGGGGGGAAAATGCAATAGGAGGGGGAATTTTATTTCTTCACAAATGAGGAGAAACAAAAACGAATCCAATGCATATTTTAACACACCACTTACCACTGTAAGATTTACTTTTGTTTGACATTGTTTTCTTTCCGGTGAGTAGAAAAGGGGAGCAACTCTTGCAACACAAGTTTAAAATACGTCGCTTTTTCTTAATATACAGATCTAAAATATTGACCACAGAATTTAAAGCATTGCATGTTAAACTTGTTGGGACGCCGTGAGTAGCTCCCCTTACATACCCGGGAGCAATTTGTAAACAACTTTGCTTACAGGCTTAAAATGAAACATTTTTCGGCAGTTATATATGCAAAAAACAAGAGCGATCAGTGATGACATGTGTCGCCTCATGATGGCCAATTTCATGTTGGGACAAGTTTTGTGACAGACGGACATACAGACGGACAGTGCACAACTACACTTGGTACTGATCATTCCTGTAAAGTTTGGATAAAATGGCACCAGTAGTTTATGAGGAGTAGTCCGGACAAGCTTTTGTGTATCTGGCAACACACAGAAAAAAACACCTTTTTATCAAAGGGCCATAACTCGGCCAAAAATCATTCAACCGGAAAACCCGTGCAATATATGCAAGGACTTGCGCTACAGATCAATCCTGTAAAGTTTCATTGAAATTGCATTAGTGGTATAAGAGAAGTAGTCCGGACAAACTTTAAAAATAAAAATTATTATAGGGCAATAACTAGTGATAGTTTCCTTGCTGATAGTTTAAACTAAAGATTTAACTTCAATTATTTTTTAAATTCAAAGTCCGGTAAATTGAATTGTTTACACAATTTTTTTCCTCTTATAATGACCTACTTTTAAGACGCATTTCTATGGTCAAATGTTTTATTTCATGTTTGATAATGGAATGTTTATGTGCATTAAGAACTCAAAATTATTTGGGTAAAATTCCATTCTTTTTTATTATTTTAAATAAAAGTTACAGATAAAAACTTCATATTTTGTCCGGTAATTTGAAGGATCCCAGTAGGTTTAGTGTTAGAAAGTTGCTGATTATGGTTAGGATTTTAAAACATGGATTTTGGTGTTATGCCCTACTTAAAACCGAAAGTAGAAATCAAAAAAAGGTAAGCGTCTACAAATCGGCTGTACACTATGATTTCTGTACATGTAACACTGACCTCAGGAACAAGACAGATGATACATTCCGTGTAGATAAATTAATTATTATATTTATAATCGACACAAACGGTGATAAAAGATAGAAAAAAATATATTTCACCAACTTTTTACATGTTTTTGGGTTTTGCCTGATTCGAGGTATTCCGCATGAAACTCTTTTTAGCTGAACACTACTAAATATATCAATATATAAATATACAATTCGCCTGTCCGGTCGCTTCCTGTTTCTCTTTGTGAACATACTATACAGTAGATTAGAAATTAAAGTATACGCTTTTCCGAGTTTCAAAAATATCTCATTATGAATATCGGTCTCAGCATGCAAGGAAAGATTATAGGATAAAAACTGTACTTTATTGTCTGATGGAAGGATCTGTCTAATGTCTGTCTATGCATGGGGATTGATTGGTTTGTGTATCAAGTTTACAGGAACATGTATACAATCATTGATTATTAAAGGCGTTTATTAAATTATTCACTCAGGGGCATATTATGTCGAGATGTAAACATATGGGAAAAATTGTCTTATTCACAAAAATTATATTCATTTCTAACTTGCAATACATTTCAGTGCATTTTTTTTACATATACAAAAAGGAATATAACATTTATACTTATTACATGCTATTCGGTGGTTTAAAGAAATATATCAGTGAAATATAAAACTGATAATTTCACTGTTTTAAGCAGAGACATAGATACCATGTTATCTATGTCTCTGTGTTAAGCAATGAAATTATCAATTTGATACTTTCACTGTTGGGAATTAAAGCCCCTTAGGTTGTTTAAGTGAACAGCGTGCACAGTGCTGAAAACCAACTTTATGATGTGATGCTATAAATGACGTCACGTTGTATTATTATTTGGCATGCTTTTCATTTAGTATAAGGTTAAAATGTATTTTTAAACGTTCCTTTGTATAATATAAAAATAAAATTTTGTTTAGTTTAGTGTAAGAAAATTTGTTTAGTTTAGTGTAAGATCGAAAAATATTTCACCTCGTGAACACCAAAAGTTAACATTTCATATACATCTTTTGGTGCTCACTTGGTGAAATATATTCCGATAAACAAATACCTTCGATATAACTTGTCATATACATTAATAATAATCTTAAAAACAATAAATGAATGCGAAAGTATCCATCTTTGAATTTCTCGCATTTTTCGATATTTATATTAGATAATTTAATGTCGTTTACTCAAAACGGACTTAATAGCAAGGTCTTATTTGCGCTGCATTTTATGATAAATGTCTCCACCTCAATCAAATTATATTAAAGTAACTATTAAAGTAATTTCTTTGTGAACTTTTGTAAATGTTTATGTATTTCTTCAGCCTTTTGTACAAAATGTACGCATGGCAAAAAATAAAACTATCATTAACTAACTCATTATATACGAAAAATAATAAATCCTTTCACTTAAACATGTTTTAAAATACCTTTTAAAAGCGAAAATACTTTAAGTGTATTATTTCAAATAATAATAATTATATGAATACTTTTTCATATTGAAACATCGAAACATCTATAGAAATAATCGATTGAAGACTAGTTTAGGCCAGGCTGGCATATATTGATGCTATTCTCCGGTTATATAGTATTTCCGGTCAAAAGGGACCGGGGACCGGAAGGGACCGGCCCGGCGAATGATAATTCCCGAAATAACTATAGTGGTGTTTGCCCTTTTCACTTTGTAACAAAGCGTCTACCAACATTGACGATAATTTTCTGCTTTCACTTATGAATGATTTCGAAATAAGTTATTTTTGGGTCCGAAATCCGTTAAGATAACATGGCAAACTGGAAAAGACTGCTTCCGAAAACACCCACGGATACAATCGCTTATATTTTTACACTATTTGGGATCAATGCAATATTTTTTTTTGAGCTTTTATATGTCCTCCCGAAAATTGTTACAGAGGATTATGAGTACAGTTCATGGAAGTGGTATTTTCACATGACATGTGGGTGCGTCATCTATTTGAATGCATTGAGTAGTTTTTGGAAGATCATATCAACAGAAACAAGTGTCCGAGGACTCATGTTACCCAGCATTCTTAAGCCAGGTATAGTATACATGTAGCTATAGTCCTTCCCGGTCACAGTATTTTAAAACTCGTCACTCATGTGTTTTGATTAAGATCATTTAGATTGTGTTTACTTTGTAGTGCACTTGTCAGCTATTTGCAAACCACCAATTCTGCCTCTTGAGCTGGACTTACAGGGTGGTAAAATAAGAAAACCTGTGAAAAGCCAACTTTAATCATTTTCCAATGCAAAAGTTTTGCTGGATTGGGGATGGGGTTGTAGGCTTTCCTCAATGAATTTCAGACAAGGGTCACAAATAACTTTATGCTTAAAGTTTCAATTTTAATATCTGAAATTTCATTGATTACACCCCTATATATATTTCAGAAGTAAAACTTGTATATAATACTCTATAGAAAATGGAATGAATCTTACATGTGTATATATACTCCTGGTTTAGACCCCGGGGTCTATTCCAGGATTTAGCCTTAATATCTAGATACTAAGAGTGAAACGATTACTCACTTATATGCTGAACCCTGATTCAGATCAGACCTGACAATTCATTTTTGTAGAGCCCGCTTGCAGTGAGCTGGACTTAGTCGCCACTTTTGGCGTATAGTTTGGTATTTTTGCATCCATCCATGCATCTGGATTTGTCAGGTTACATCTAGCTCATTCTTTGTAGGCATACAAAATAATTGGGTACAAATGTTCACCATGATGGGTTGGTGTGTCACACACTAAACCCAGGTCGGTTTCTTAAAGGTCAAGGTCAAACTTTGGGGGGGGGGAGCTCAAAACCTGTGCTCAGAGCGTAACTATCACATGCATAGAGGGATTTTTATATAACTCAGGACAAAGTAAGGCAGTGTGTGAAGCAAATTCAGGTGTCTGTGCTAAAGGTTAAGGTCAGACTCAAAGGTCAAAGGTCAAATAACAAAATAAAACATTCATTTGCAAGTATAACTACTATATACAAAGATGGATTTTAATTTAACTATGCACAATGTTCTCCATGTTGAGTTGAGTTGTCCCACTCAAAATGAAGGTCAAGGTCACAAGAGGTCAAAGAAAAATATTAAGATTAATTTGTTGGTGCTGTATCTTGCTAATGCTTTGAAGTATTATTGCTTTGTGGTCAGAGGATTTTTTAATTGTGGAGTGGAGTCTGCTTGCGCTTTTGGCAATTTGGCATATGTGTGTCTGTCAGTCTGTGCGTTTGTCTAGATTTGTCCCATTTATATCTAGCTCATTCTTGGAGGGATAACAAAATAATTGGATACAAATGTTCACCATGATGGATTGGTGTGTCACACACAAATCCCAGGTCTGCCTCACACTGGGGGGAGTGTGCGGGGGGTGGGGGGGGGGGTCCCAAACCGTGTCCGGAGCGTAATGAGTTTCATCTGGAGGTGTGCAGCTCTTAAGGCTTGATCCTTTCTTTTGCTCATTTCAGGTGTAAAAGAGATTCTGCCATATATGTGATGAATTTTTGCTAATTTTAGGATAGAAATTTTGCCATATATATGACATTTCCATATAATTATATGACGATTTTGCTCATTTCAGGATGGAGGTTCTGCCATATATGTGAATGTAATGCGCCACCTAGATCATTTCATTGTTACACCTGTAAAACATGCGTACTTCGCCGAGATCATCATTGTGTTTTCACTGGGAATTGTGTAGGGCACAAAAACCATCGTTACTACATGATGCTGTTGTTTTATAATGCCCTTGCGGGTTGGTATGCAACTTTTATGAATATCAGTATTGCCTGGACTATAGTGGGAACTGAATGGTTTCCTTTGTCACTACTCAAGCTCATTTTTCCATTCTTTGCCTGGGTTATAGGTTATGTTACCTTCAATGAGATGCTACTATCGGCCATTTTGCTGCTGTGCATTGCTGCAATGTGTGCAATGACGGGACTACTTTCATACCATTTGAAGAATCTTTATCGAGGACAGATAACGCATGAGAGTACGCATAATGTACTCAAATATGATTTGGGATGGAAAGAAAACGTGAGAGCTGTGATGGGTGAAAACTGGAGAGTGGGGTGGTTATCACCTTGGTTACCATCTCCTCTACCCGGAGATGGTTTAGAATTTCCTTTAGCTAGTGTTTATGAAGCTCCAAAAGATTTATAAATAGTAATTACCTTTTTCAAGGGAGGTAACTTTAACATATAAGAATTCAACAAAATCATAAGTAAAGTGTTTTGATATAGAAAAAAATCAATTTTGTATTAATATCTATGTGTGGTGTATTCTTAATGGCATTTTTTTGTGTTGCCTGAATTAAAGTGAATTTTAGTATATTTTAGAAATCTGAATAATATTAGAGACTAGCGAGTATATTGAACAATTATTTGTCACCAGTTTGTTAAATTGTTATTGAGCTATGTTAAGAGTTTGAAATGCATGACTTTGTCTGATAATTTTATTTTATTTTCACACTGAAGCAAACCGTTTTGAAGTAAGATTTTTTTCAACTTTGTTTCAACGGAAATGTTTTCATGATAAACAAATTTGATTGCTGGATACTTTATGTCTATTATTGTAAAAGCTCTCATTGATTCATTTCAAAGTATATCAACGATATATCGATATTATAATATATCAAATGACAAACTTCATCAATTTACTGACTTTTATTTATTTATATTACATTTTTCATAGCCACATTATCCTATATTACATTTTACATAGCCACTTTATCCTATATAACATTTTTAATTAATATTGAAATTAATTGATAATGGATTTTTTTTTCATTAAGAAATCAATTGATAATGGATATTGTTAATAAATTATTTGATAATGGATTTTATTCATTAAGAAAACTCTACTGCTGGTTTAGTAATATTATGGAAATAGTGCCTTTTAGATAATAATTTTTGTATAAATCAACTGTAAATTTAACTATCAAAGCAACTGTTTTAAATTTGTATTGTATACATTTTTAGGTCTTTTTTTTGTGATTTGATTTTGTGCCACAGTAGCTTGACATATTTTGTATGTTTTTTGTGTTTTTGTACCTTTGTAAAAATTTATAGAATTTTATATTTTCTCATCAAGGCTCCTTTTATTGACAGATAACTTTTAAGGTTACAATGCATTGAACTCTGGGAAGCGGTCAGGGTTAAGATCACTGTGTCAAGAAATAATTTTTCTACTTTTTCTGAATGTTTTTTGATGTGCCAAAATGGCACCAGGAAACCAATCAGTGTTTCTTACATTTTTAGCTCACCTGTCACAAAGTGACAGGGTGAGCTTTTGTGATTGCTTTATGTCCGGCGTCCGTCCGTCCGTCGTCCGTCCGTAAACTTTTACTTTAAATGACATCTCCTCATAAACCACTAAGCCAATTTCATCCAAACTTCACAGGAATGTTCCTTTGGTGGTCACCTTTGGAAATTGTTCAAAGAATTTAATTCCATGCAGAACTCTGGTTGCCATGGCAACCAAAAGAAAAAACTTTAAATATCTTCTTCTAAAAAACCCAAAGACCTAGAGCTTAGATATTTGGCATGAAACATCTTCTAGTGAGTGTCTACCAAGTTTGTTAAAATAAAAGCCCTGGGGTCAAAATTGGCCCCGCCCCAGGGGGTCATTGATTTTCCCTATATGCATATAGTAAACACTTTAAAAACTTGTTTTAAAGAACCCAAAGACCTAGAGCTAAGATATTTAGCATGAAACATCCTCTAATGGGTGTCTACCAAGTTTGTTCAAATAAAAGCCCTGGGGTCAAAATTGGCCCCGCCCCAGGGGGTCATTGATTTTCCCTATATGCATATAGTAAAAACTTAAAGAACCCAAAGAGCTAGAGCTAAGATATTTAGCATGAAACATGTTCTAATGGATGTCTACCAAGTTTGTTCAAATAAGAGCCCTGGGGTCAAAATTGGCCCCGCCCCGGGGGCATTGATTTTCCTTATATGTGTATAGCAAAAACTTAAAAATCTTCTTTGAAAAAACCCGAATAGCTAGAGTTTAGATATTAAGCATGAAACATTTTCTAGTAAGTGTCTACAAAGATTGTTCAAATAAAAGCCCTGGGGTCAGAACTGGCCCTGCCCCATGTGTGTCATTCTTTTTAACTATATGTGTAAAGAAAAAACTTGACAAGCTAGACCTTAGATGTTTAGCATGAAACTTCTTCTAATGGGTGTCTACCAAGTCTGTTCAAATAAAAGCCCTGGGGTTTAAACTGGCCCCGCTCCGGGGGCCTATATACAGGTGAGCGACTTCAGGGCCATCATGGCCCTCTTGTTCTTTTCTTGTTTAAAAGCATTTTTTTATTTATTCTTTTTACTTTAAAATAATAGTGATACTTAATCATGCTCCAACATTGGGCCGCAGAGACAGTGGTTGCCAACTTGGGTATTGGAATTTTAGAAAAATATAGCTTTGTCTGAATAAATGTTAGGTAATACAAATGTAAATGTTTGTAATTTAGTGCTGTCATAGATGGAAAAGTTTGCATCAATATATCAAAAGCAAAATATCAAGATATATATCAAATTAAATACATGTAGCTTCTAATGTTTACATGTCATAATTTTTTATTGAAGAATAACTATCTATATTTTTATGACATCATCAATTCACCCGTAAAATAACCATAGTAATGTTTCTTGTTGCCTAATACTGTTGACATATGCATGTATACAATTCATGACAAAAAAAGAAAGGGGAAAAAAAACAAAAAAAATCTACCTCTATTTCAAGAACAGTGTAACAATGCATTGCTTCAAGTCTTACATGTACATGGGATTGTGTAAATGATATAATAAAGTTTACAATGTTTCATTTTGTATTCATTCAAATAGTGCGTAATGAAGCAAAAAAAGAATAATTATGCAAAATAATGTACACTTTTGACAGGTTTAATATGCTAATAACAGTGGTTGAAAGTTTTAAGGTATTTATGTTCTAGATTTGCCTTGGAATGTTTTACATTAAAATAAAATCCTGACAATCTTTGTGGTCTTAAATGCTTTTCTCACCTGCACATAGAGTGCTTAAAGGGACTTCACTGAGTTTTTTTGACAAGACAGACTGGAAATTATTTTTTCGAGATTAATATACCATTTGATATAGGTCTAGACCAAAAACTTGTGTGCAAAATTTTAGATCATTGGCTTACTCCGTTTTTCCTAGATTATTATTCTGAATGTGAAAAATGACACAAAATTGAAAAATGTTGCAAGGTATTTCACTGGAATCAGGCCAAGAATAACATTAAAACACAATTTTCAACTTATTTCTAAGTATATTTCTGGTTTATATTTTGCATATCTTTCTCTTTTAAATGCTCTAGCAGATCTTTTTTACATCAAATGCAACTTTTATATGGAAAAATTATTTTCAGTTCCGTCATGTCAAATAACCCCAGTAGAGTCCCTTTAAAGAAAATGTTCTTGTCAAAAATACATTGCCCCGAGCTTTAAGGTATTTCCTTTGTTGCTGTTCTTTTAATGAACTTCTTAAAATATGTTATTGAAATCATTTTTATATGGTCAAAACTGGCTCAGTCCTGCAAGTCTTTCCAGCTTACATATTTTACTAATAGATTTATTTGTAGCATGGCTGTGTGACAAAGTCATAGATTGTGCACCTAGGGTAGAAATACAACCCAAATCGAATGGCTGATCATAAAAGATTGTTCTTGAAACCCAACCCTAGGGCGGAGTCATAATTATTCCTTGCATGGAGGTTATTTTATGACGAAGGAATCTCATATAGTAGTAAACTTTTTTATTGTTTTCTACGGTGTTCCGTTTGGACAATCGTGATCGTACCCGCGATGCACGATAGCACCATGGTGAAAACACGATGGTACGATGGTGAAAACGCGATGGTACGATTATGAAAATGCGATGGTATGATGGTGAAATCACGATGGCACGATGGTGAAAACGCGATGGCACGATGGTGAAAACGCGATGGTACGATGGTAAAAAAACACGATGGTACGATGATGGTGAAAACGCGATGGTACGATGGTGAAAACACGATGTCACATCGCGTTTTCACCATCGTGCTATCGTGCCATCGCGATTTCATCATCGTACCATCGCGTTTTCATCATCGTGCATCACGGGTAGGGAAGAAATAAAAAATCACGATTGTCCAAACGGAATACCGTAGTTTTCTTCTACGGAAAAAATAAAGGCCACATAGCTTTGAACCTTTGCCTAGTCGGCCACTGCAGATAAAACAGAACTTATGATAATGGTGTCAAAAATGGGATTGACATTTCAGTTAAAGCGTTAACATTTATTTAACATCTCCAATTCACATAAGCTGAAGTCTAGAATTCATGAGATTGTAACATTCAGTGTTGTTTAAAGGTATTAATTGTGCGTCAGAAATAAATAGTTTATAGAGGATATTTGTTTAATTCAGTGTAAGATCGGGATATATTTCACCGAGTGAGCACCAAAAGATATATTATAATAATTATGATAATTATAAATATGAAATTTTGGTGTTCACAAGGTGAAATATATTTCGATCTTGCACTAAGCTAAACACATTTTCTTTTTCTTATATGCAAAGAAACGTTTAAAAAGACAATTTTACATTATTCTAAATGAAAAGCGCCCAAAATAATAACGTGACGTCATTTACGACGGCACGTCATTAAGTTGGTTTCCAGTACTGTGCACGCTGGCATTTCACTGAAACAACGTAAGGGGCTTTAATTCAAAACAGTGAAAAATATCAAATTGATAATTTCATGGTTTCAAACAGTGAAATATCAGATGTCATAAACCACCAAAAAGCATATAATAAAGTAGAATATTGACTTCTATACAAAATTCTTAACTCGTACGAAGTTCTGGCATGGCCGTAGGGTTTATACACTCACTGGGCTAGTAATCCAAGGATAGGTAGCCCATCAGGGCCAAGTGGTTGTTTCCTTGAGCAAAAATCTTGACACTAGATGCACAGTGACACGCTTATATATTCTTATACAATCAAACTATAATAAATTCTGTTTAAACTAATTGCTGAATAGCATCAGAAGCAAAAAATGGTTCAGGTAACTGACCAATGAGTAACTTTTGAAACCATTTTGAGAAATACGAATTACAAGCCATTCCTTAGCATAATGGGCCTTAAATTGATTTGATAAAAATGTCTCTGACGGTCTTCCGTACTTTCTTCAGTACTTAACCCAAGACATTTAATTAATTTATCCTCTTTTTTTTTCATTTTATCATATTTCACTGCTATAATTATATGTTTTCTTGTTTCTTGTTGACGAATGAGGATCTGTGGCCGAGTCATTAATCTAGAATATAATATTTTGAAGGAAGTGTGTGATTCAAATAGCAATAAGATGGACAAATTTTATGTTATGAAGTGTTTAATGTTTTATATAATTATAGGCATGTACTAGAAATGTTGGAGGAGACCTTCAACTGCACGAGAGGCACCCGAGTAGAGCCATCGACCTTCTGTAACCCAGTTGGCTGACTTTGAACAACTTACCCCTCATGACAGTGGGTTCGAATCCTAGGCACCCTAGGTCTTCCTCTACCAGTAAAGCTTTAAAGTCGCAGCATGACCGTCTAACAGTGTCTTCGTCGATTTTATGAAAAATTCATCAAAATAAATGTGTGTACATTGCTTAAGATATTATGCCCAAGAAACATTTTTCTTTTATAAAAAGAGCAATTATGTACAGAAGAGCATTAGTGCCAGGTGTACGTTTTTTATTAACTCGAAATTTCGAGTTAGTAACTCGAAATTTCGACTTACTAACTCGAAATTTCGACTTACTAACTCGAAATTTCAATTTACTAACTCGAAATTTCGAGTTACTTATCTCGAAATTTCGAGTTACTAACTCGAAATTTCGACTTACTAACTCGAAATTCCGACTTACTAACTCGAAATTTCGACTTACTAACTCGAAATTTCGAGTTACTTATCTCGAAATTTCGACTTAGTAACTCGAAATTTCGACTTATTAACATTACAAGAATGGCCAAAGTTATTAGTTAGATGGTATAAGATATAGTAGGCAGTGCCTTTGAACGATGGAGTTGGAGAAACGGTTGCCTGGACAAAAACTATTGAAATTTAACATAAACTTAGTAATGGCATGTTCACACCCGACCTAAAAAAACAAGGCTTCCTTTAATTTGTACGTTCAGGCGTTCTTCAGACGTTGTATTGTATCCCATCTGTTCGAACATATCTTTTCACTACTCATATTCTTCTCATCCCTGTAAAAAACCGATCCTATACTTCACGTGTGGGACATCTGAGGAAAGTATCGCGGCGTGGCCAAAGAGGGCGTGCTGAGGCCTTTGTCAAAATTGTTGGACTGACTATATTTCTTGTAAAATCGGATGCTTTTATATTATTCCCAACATATATATAACAACAAGTATCACTTTTATCAACTTTTATCAACACAATATCAAAGTATTAGTAAATAATGAATAATGTTACAAAAACATTATTAGTATAAAGAAACGTGACAGACTAACTGGCCTATACATGCCAATTAAAACTTATTTAACACATGATATTGCACAGTTTACAATAGAGTGGGTTTTGGACTTGTTGTTTCTCCACATGATGGTTGTATGTGTGCTTAAGAAAAAGAAACACCCGGTTAACACAGAAATGTGGAAAGTGTGATTTTACCCCCCCCCCCCCTCCACAAAAAAGCGAAGGATATGTTCAGTATGTGTGGACAATTTGACCCTATAAAATTGTTCTGTTAAATAAATGTTAAAGGTGCTCTGTCAATGTGCAACAGCTACACACGAAAGAAAGTATCTTGAATTAAATCCTTGCTTTCACCGGCAACCAATGAAAGTCGTGCAATGTAAGTCGAAATTTCGAGTAAGTAAGTCGAAATTTCGAGTAAATAAGTCGAAATTTCGAGTAAGTAAGTCGAAATTTCGAGTTAGTAACTCGATATTTCGAGATAAGTAACTTGAAATTTCGAGTTAGTAACTCGAAATTTCGAGTTAATAAGTCGAAATTTCGAGTTAGTAAGTCGAAATTTCGAGTTAGTAACTCGAAATTTCGAGTTAATAAAAAACATACACCTGGCACTAATGCTCTTCCGTAATTATGAGATGTATATATGTTTTAAAGGATATTAAATATTTTTTTAACTTGAAGAAAGTAGCGCTAAATAGGAAATTATTTGTAATAAAAATAGCAATTTGTAAGCAAAAAAGTATTTCAGTCAGTACATACATGTATTTTGAAATATTTCCTGAAATGATGAATGGTTTTGTCTAGAATGGGACAACGATTCCATTTAAGATATTTAACGTTGTAAGAAATTATTTTATTATTTAAGCACTAGTAAACCCTGTGATAAAACTGCAGAATAATCACAAATGTTACGTGATTTGGTTTTAAGTTAATTATAGTACGACATTAATAACAATTAATTAATGCAATATGTCAATTTACTGCAGGCACATTTGATTTCGATAGTAAATGCTGTCAGAATAAAATTCTTAACAATGCACGAATGAAACAATGTCGCCGATTGATACACTGCCTTATATACTCTGTTACAAATTCTTTTCTTCGGAAGGTATTTTAAAGATGTTAATAAAAATATGTGCACAGAAATAACTTGAATGAATTAAATAAATAGAAAGACCGTAAGCGTCCTTATACTAAAACATGTCAGTAGGTATATGCATGTGCACAGAAAAAAAGAAAGAAGAAAAAAAAACACTTAAGAAAGTTGAAAGCCCAATTTTTCATATAATATAAAGATTTTTGATTAAACATTACATTCCCATTATTACATTTTATATTGAAATGAATCAATTACAGTAATAGATATTTTATTGCAATCAAAACGCAATGCGGGAAATGTAATTACAGTGTAACGTACGTAGCTGGTGTACCATTAAACCCGATAACAGATTATTATTTCACAATAATTATACATGTTCGTGTGTCTTATTTCCATTAAGAAAATGTATTTTAAATTGAAAATGCTAAAATATATTAACTGGCCACACAGCAAGAATGTGCGAGGTATACGTTTCTTTTAGGTATACCGGTGACAAATGAACCGCGCCATGACAAAACCAACTTAGTGCATGGGTTTGCGACCAGCATGGATCCAGACCAGACTGCGGTTATGCGCAGTCTGATCAGGATCCATGCTATTCGCTATCAGTTTCTCTACTTGTAATAGGGTTTGTAAGCGAACAGCATGGATCCTGATCAGACTGCGCGGATTCGCAGTCTGGTCTGGATCCATACTGGTCGCAAACCCATTATGTTGGTTTGTCGTGACGCGGCTCAAATATAGGGGCAATTAACTCTAGTTGTATGGGTATATAGTACAGAATTATGAGGAGATCAATCTCTCGATGCCCGTATTTATAGTCAAAACACCTCAACGACATAGTTGCACATGTCAGCTGCCAATCAAAAAAGTGCGGCTATTATTCATAAGAAGTTTAATGGTAAAGGCTGATCCGAAGTTTGACGGAAAGGGACAAGAGCGTACGGATATGAGGGCCGGTATGTTTGTAAATCGTTGTTGAATGGACCACCGAGCTTTAAAAATGTTTGATTTAGTTTGTCACATGTGAGACGTGGATACTGGAATCTGGACAATTTTCCATCTTCAGAACATCATACCAATTTTGAAAGCAATATTGTTTCATCGAAATAAATTGATCACATGTGATACGGTGAGTATGGTTGTATGGAGGGAATATAAAAAGAAAGAGAAAAAAGTAAAAAAAAAAAACAAAAAAAAAAAACAAAAACTGAAAACATGAAGAAAACATGAAATAAAAAGAATAACATTTTATTTAAAATTTTCGTAACATTCTTCAATCACATAGGGTTCTGTATACTTAGAATAATGTCCGTTGACATCAAATACTGGCGTCCTATCAAAATAGTTGTACGGTTTTAGCATGAAGCCACTGGGCACCGACAATGTCATCGGTAAATCTTCCGATGATGGCGCATGAAAAAACTTCTCACTAACCCAAACAACAAGATCTTCGCTCCGTATAGTTTCGTTATTTAGAAATCGACCTACGCCTTTAATGGCTTGATCTGGATGCGTAAGGTCATACCACGAGGTGGTTCCATATTGTTCGCTATCGTTGTGTTTGGTAACTGCCAGCATGTATTTTAAATCGTCCCATGCATTTAACATCATATGTTCTTCTAAAATTTCCACTGACTTTGAATATGGTATAATTCTATAGCTGCGTAAATTGCCCCAATAGTTACGTTCATTTTCGTTGACAACTGTAAAATATTTCGGTTTTAGAGGGTTCGTTATAAATGTTTTTTCGTATTCGTGAAGTTCTTGTTGCAAATATCGTGTATTGTTGAAGTAGAAAAATCCTGGTTTTTCAGATATATTAGCACGTGACTGGAAAGCTTCGAGTGCACTGCCTGCCCGCCAATTGACGGTTTGAAAACTGTTATTTGTCCCTAAAATATCGAGATCTACTTTAAATAAATAATTATGATTATGAATAGGACCAATTTGGAAGTCCGAAATTCTATATCCGAAAGGAGTAGCACTTTTATCAACGCCGAGGTAAGGATCGTTGGGGTCCCAGAATGCACCGTACAGAAAACCGGAAGCTGAGAGTAGAGTTTCTAAGCTTCCATCGAGGAAAAATTTCCATTCAAGAGTGTAGTCATAGTTCCCAAGGTTCATTGATGCACGGATTATCAGATGGTGGTCAGCCAAACCTTTTGACTGAAAGCGCCATAAAGCTTTCTGACCGTCTGCTTCAAACACACACGCGGCTTTCATATCCTGGGGATAGCCATACATATATTTAGTTGCATGGAGTAAAGAACTTCGGTCTGGACAGTCCAAGCCGAACCTTGGTGTGTTGTAACTGCCAAGTAAAAACATTGTGTCGGACAATGTCGGTGGTCCTGCCCCATTCGTCTGTGAAGAATAAATAAGCGTCACATCTTGTAAAGATATTTCATATGCTATTCTTTCATTTTTAAATCTTACGTCGAATATCGCCGGCCCATGCATTGGACTAGAACTAAATTCGAATTGCCAGCCCATCCATTCTACCTGATGCCCTTTTATTGTATACCTTGGTCCCTTAGGTTCGTAGGTTCTTGGTGGTGGAAGATGGGATAAAGGTCTCTGCGGCAATGAGGAATTTAAATTAAGACCAAACTCGTTATAATGATCTGAATAATACGACTTCGGGTACGACACTTTTCGTAATGATCCATTATTGTATAACATTTGCATTTCTTTAAAAGAACTGAAAGGCCCCTGTGACGCATAGTAAAAATCTGACGCGTACCATTGAGAAGTATTAGTGCCCGGATGATGAACAATACATGTAATAGGAAGAATTCTTACTGTTAAATAACCACTCATTTTAAGATATAAAAACACCGTTGACAATCGGTCATTTTCACTAACGGAGGGTAACATGCCGAATTGTATACCCACAGTTCTTGGATATGTAGCACCGCCGAAACTTTCACTCAATAACTTTTTGATATCACCCATGTTTATAGAAACAATTCTCATAATACTTCCAAATTCAGATGCATCAAACGGACGTCGGTTAAAATGAACTTCTCCATCTCTTAATTTTTGTTCTACTTTTATGTTCTGAAAAGTTTCGTTCAATGGTCCAATTTTGTATTCCATGAAATCTGGTGGAGTAATTGCTCCACGAGCAACATTTACTTGAGCAAATCTTCCCGGAAAAGGACCGCCGTTGTCAAGGTGATCAAGAGCATGCGACTTCTTAACCGGATATAAAGACACGTGTGCTGCCCTATTTTCTGCCAAAGAATAACTTTCAGGAGATATATATCCGCGAACCTCGAGTACTTTTAAAGTCAATTTTATCTCTTCAATAGTTAATGGCGCGAACAACGACAGTTTAGTTTCATTTCCAGACGATAAGTTTGGATTTCGTGTCGGGCACGTTCTGCATTCGTCACCTGAATTTTCGGTAGTGACTTCTTCCGGTGCCACAGTCGTACATACACACGTGTCTTCTACGTTTGTCTCCGATGTTTGTATAGGAACTTGTGTTGTTTCTTGAGCAGTGGTTGGTGAAAGCGTAGTTTGTTTCATCATGAACGACCCGGATTGCTTTGCAATATTTTGACTTATTTGATTTGGACGCGGAAGAGCAAAACGCCCGATTATAATACCTAAAGCAATACCGATGACAAAAACGATGGGACATAAAACGGCAAACACACAGTATGGCCCATTGCTCGTTTTATGCTTAGCACCAGAACCTGTTCTGTGAAGTTTCTTCGAGTACGCCTCTGTTGAGTTTGTCCATGGACCGGAAGTCTGGTTATGTGCATAAAATAAAATAAAATAAAATAACCATAGTAATGTTTCTTGTTGCCTAATACTGTTGAAATATGCATGTATACAATGCATGACAAAAAAAGAAAGGGGAAAAAACAAAACAAAAAAATGCTACCTCTTTTTTCAAGAACAGTGTAACAATGTATTGCTTCAAGTCTTACATGGTATTGTGTGAAGATATAATAAAGGTATAATAAAGGTTACAATGTTTTGTTTCTTATTTATTCAAATTGTGAGTAATGAAGCAAAAAAAAGTATAATTATGCAAAATAATGTACACTTTTGACAGGTTTTAATATGCTAATAACAGTGGTTGAAAGTTTTAAGGTATTTTATGTTCTAGATTTGCCTTGGAATGTTTTACATTAAAATAAAATCCTGACAATCTTTGTGGTCTTAAATGCTTTTCTCACCTGTACATAGAGTGCTTAAAGGGACTTCACTGAGTTTTTTTGACAAGACAGACTGGAAATTATTTTTTCGAGATTAATATACCATTTGATATAGGTCTAGACCAAAAACTTGTGTGCAAAATTTTAGATCATTGGCATACTCTGTTTTTCCTAAATTATTATTCTGAATGTGAAAAATGACACAAAATTGAAAAACGTTGCAAGGCTTTTCACTTTAATCAGGCCAAGAATAACATTAAAATATGATTTTCAACTTATTTCTAAGTATATTTTTGGATTATATTTTGCATATCTTTCTCTTTTTAGTGCCCTAGCAGATCTTTTCTACATCAAATGCAACATTTATATGGAAAAATTATTTTCAGTTCTGTCATGTCAAATAACCCCAGTAGAGTCCCTGTAAAGAAAATTTTCTTTTCAAAAACTACATTGCTTCCAGCTTTAAGGTATTTCCTTTGTTGCAGTTCTTTTAATGGACCTGTTTAAATTTTATCAAAAACATTTAATGTGGTCAAAACTGGCTCAGTCCTGCAAGTCTTTCCAGTATATTTTACTAATAGAAGTGCTGTATGTATTTATTAGAAGCATTGTTGACTGTGACAAAATCATATACATGTATAGAGTATGCACCTTGGGTAGAAATCCAACCCAAATCAATGGCTGATCTAAAAGATTTGTTCTTGAAATCCAACCCTAGGGCGGAGTCATAATTATTTTTTGCTTGGAGGTTATTTCATGACTAAGGAATCTAACATAGTATTAAACTTTTAATTGTTTTCATATATAGAAATAAATTAAAGGCCACATAGCTTTGATATTAGGATATGAACCTTTGCCTAGTCGCCTCTGCAGAAAATACAGAACTTATGATTAAGCTATCAAATATGGGATTGACATGTCCGTTTAATCGTTAACATTTAGTTAACATCTCCTATTCACATAAGTTGCATGAAGTCTTGAATTCATGAGATTGTAACATTCTGTGTTGTTTAAACGTATGTATTGTGCGTCAGAAACAAATAGTAAATAGAGGATATTTGTTTAGTTCAGTGTAAGATAAAGATATATTTCACCGAGTGAGCACCAAAAGATATATTTCACGAGTGAAGTATGAAATTTTGGTGTTCACGAGGTGAAATATATTTCGAAATATCAAATATCAGATTTCATAAACCACCAAAAAGCATATAACAAAGTAGAATATTGACTTCTATACAAAATTCTTAACTCGTACGAAGTTCTGGCATGGCCGTAGGGTTTATACACTCACTGGGCTTGTAATCCAAGGATAGGTAGCACGTCACGGCCAAGCGGTCGTGTCCTTGAGCAAAAATCTTTACACTAGATGCACAGTGGCAGCTTATATCTTCTTATTCAATCGAACTTTAATAAATTCTGTTTAAACTAATTGCTGAATAGCATCAGAAGCAAAATATGGCCCAGGTAACTGACCAATAAGTAACTCTTGAAACCATTTTAGAAATATTTTTAGAAATAAGAAGAACATCATTCCTGAGCATAATGGGTCTTAAATTGTTTTGATGAAAATGTCCCCGACGGTCTTCCCTACTTTCTTCAGTACTTAACCCAAGACATTTAATTAATTTATCCTCTATAACCCAAGACATTTAATTAATTTATCCTCTTTTTTTCATTTTATCATAATTATTTCACGGCTATATATGTTTTCTTGTGTTTTTTTTTGTTGACAAGTGAGGATCTGTGGCCGAGATTCATTAATCTAGAATATAATATTTTGAAGGAAGTGTGTGATTCAAATAGCAATAAGATGGACAAATTTTATGTTATGAAGTGTTTAATATTTTATATAATTATAGGCATGTACTAGAAATGTTGAAGGAGACCTTCAACTGCACGAGAGGCACCCGAGTAGAGCCATCGACCTTCTGTAACCCAGTTGGCTGACTTTGAACAACTTATCACAGTGGGTTCGAATCCCCATAGGAAATTATTTGATTCTTTCATGTGGTTAAACTACCCAGCCAGCTCATGGAATGTCGGTGGTCCTACTCTGATGCAACCTCGTGCTTGAAATAATGCACGGAAGTGGCACCCTAGGTCTTCCTCTACCAGTAAAGCTTGAAAGTCGCAGCATGACCGTCTAACAGTGTCTTCGTCGATTTTACGAAAAATTCATCAAAATAAATGTGTGTACATTGCTTAAGATATTATGCCCAAGAAACATTTTTATTTTATTATAAGAGCAATTATGAGTTTTATATGTTTTAAAGGATATTAAATAATTTTTTTAACTTGAAGAAAGTAGCCCTAAATAGGAAATTATTTGTAATAAAAGTAGCAATTTGTAAACAAATAAGTATTTCAGTCAGTACATACATGTATTTTGAAATATTTCCTGAAATGATGAATGGTTTTGTCTAGAATGGGACAAATGGACGATTCCATTTAAAATATTTAACGTGGTAAGAATTAAATTTATTATTTAAGCACTAGTAAACCCTGTGATAAAACTGCAGAATAATCACAAATGTTACGTGATTTGGTTTTAAGTTAATTATAGTACGACATTAATAACAATTAATTAATGCAATATGTCAATTTACTGCAGGCACATTTGATTTCGATAGTAAATGCTGTCAGAATAAAATTCTTAACAATGCACGAATGAAACAATGTCGCCGATTGATACACTGCCTTATATACTCGGTTACAAATTCTTTTCTTTGTCCCTTTATTCGTTGAAGGTATTTTAAAGATGGGAATAGAAATTTGTGCACAGAAATAACTTGAATGAATTAAATAAATAGAAAGATTAATATATCTATTAATAATTGTCTTTATACTAAAAAATGTCAGCAATATTATGTGCACAAAAAACACTTAAGAAAGTTGAAGGCCAAATTGTTCATATAATATAAATATGTTTGATAAAACATTACATTCCCATCACATTTTATATTGAAATGAATCCATAACAATACTAGATATTTTATTGCAATCAAACGCAATGCGGGAAATATAATTACAGTGAAACGTAGCCGGTGAATCATTAAACCCGAGAACAGATCATTATTTCACAATACATGTTCGTGTGTCTTATATATTTCCATGAAGAATATGTATTTTAAATTGAAAATGCTAAAATACATTACCTGGCCACACAGCTAGAATATGCGAGGTATACGTTCCGGAGACAAATGAGCCACGTCACGACAAAACCAACATAGTGGGTTTGCGACCAGCATAGATCCAGACCAGCCTGCGCATCCGCGCAGTCTGATCAGGATCCATGCTGTTCGCTATCAGTTTCTCTACTTGTAATAGGGTTTGTAAGCGAACAGCATGGATCCTGATCAGACTGCGCGGATGCGCAGTCTGGTCTGGATCCATGCTGGTCGCAAATTAATTATGTTGGTTTTGTCGTGACGCGGCTCAAATATAGGGGCAATTTACTCCAGTTGTATGGATATATAGTACAGAATTATGAGGAGATCAATCTCTCGATGCCTGTATTTATAGTCAAAACACCTCAACGACATAGTTGCACATGTCAGCTGCCAATCAAAAAAGTGCGGCTATTATTCATAAGAAGTTTAAGGTAAAGGCTTATCCGAAGTTTGACGGAAAGGGCCGAGAGCGTACGGATAAGAGGGCCGACATGTTAATTTGTAAATCATTGTTAAATGGACCACCGAGCTTTTAAAGTGTTTGATTTAGTTTTTCATATGTGAGACGAGGATACTGGAATCTGGACAATTTTCCATCTTCAGAATTTCATACCAATTTTGAAAGCAATTGTTTCATCGAAATAAGTACATCACATGTGATAGATACGGTATGGTTGTATAAAGAAAGAGAAAAAAGTAGAAAAAAAGAAAAACTAAAAAAGAAGAAAACCTGAAATAAAAATAAAATAATATTTTATTTAAAATTTTCGTAACATTCTTCAATCACATAGGGTTCTGTATACTTAGAATAATGTCCGTTTACATCAAATACTGGCGTCCTATCAAAATAGTTGTACGGTTTCAGCATGAAGCCACTGGGCACCGACAATGTCATCGGTAAATCTTCCGATGATGGGTGCATGTAAAAAAACTTCTCACTAACCCAAACGACAAGATCTTCGTTCCGTATAGTTTCGTTATTTAGAAATCGACCTACGCCTTTAATGGCTTGATTTGGATGCGTAAGGTCATACCACGAGGTGGTTCCGTATTGTTCGCTATCGTTTTGTGTTTTGGTAACTGCCAGCATGTATTTTAAATCGTCCCATGCATTTAACATCATATGTTCTTCTAAAATTTCCCACTGACTTTGAATATGGTATAATTCTATAGCTGCGTAAATTGCCCCAATAGTTACGTTCATTTTCGTTGACAACTGCTAAAATATTTCGGTTTTAGAGGGTTCGTTATAAATGTTTTTTCGTATTCGTGAAGTTCTTGTTGCAAAATATCGTGTATTGTTGAAGTAGAAAAATCCTGGTTTTTCAGATATATTAGCAACGTGACTGGAACAGCTCGAGTGCACTGCCTGCCCCCAATTGACGGTTTAAAACTGTTATTTGTCCCTAAAATATCGAGGATCTACTTTAAATAAATAATTATGATTATGAATAGGACCAATTTGGAAGTCCGAAATTCTATATCCGAAAGAGTAGCACTTTTATCAACGCCGAGGTAAGGATCGTTGGGTCCCAGAATGCACCGTACAGAAAACCGGAAGCTGAGAGTAGAGTTTCTAAGCTTTCCATCGAGGAAAAAATTTCCATTCAAGAGTGTAGTCATAGTTCCCAAGGTTCATTGATGCCACGGGATTATCAGATGGTGGTCAGCCAAACCTTTTGACTGAAAGCGCCATAAAGCTTTCTGACCGTCTGCTTCAAACACACACGCGCTTTCATATCCTGGGGATAGCCATACATATATTTAGTGGCATGGAGTAAAGAACTTCGGTCTGGACAGTCCAAGCCGAACCTTGGTCAATCTGTGTATGTAACTGCCAAGTAAAAAACATTGTGTCGGACAATGTCGGTGGTCCTGCCCCATTCGTCTGTGAAGAATAAATAAGCGTCACATCTTGTAAAGATATTTCATATGCTATTTTTCATTTTTAAATCTTACGTCGAAATATTCGCCGGCCCATGCATTGGACTAGAACTAAATTCGAATTGCCAGCCCATCCATTCTAACCTGATGGCCCTTTTAATTGTATACCTTGGTCCCTTAGGTTCGTAGGTTCTTGGTGGTGGTAGATGGGATAAAGGTCTCGGCGGCAATGAGGAGTTTAAATTAAGACCAAACTCGTTATAATGATCTGAATAATACGACTTCGGGAATGACACTTTTCGTAAGGATCCATTATTGTATAACGTTTGCATTTCTTTAAACGAACTGAAAGGCCCCTGTGACGCATAGTAAAAATCTGATGCGTACCATTGAGAAGTATTAGTGCCCGGATGATGAACAATACATGTAATAGGAAGAATTCTTACTGTTAAATAACCACTCATTTTAAGATATAAAAACACCGTTGACAATCGGTCATTTTCACTGACGGAGGGTAACATGCCGAATTGTATACCCACAGTTCTTGGATATGTAGCACCGCCGAAACTTTCACTCAATAACTTTTTGATATCACCCATGTTTATAGAAACAATTCTCATAATACTTCCAAATTCAGATGCATCAAACGGACGTCGGTTAAAATGAACTTTTCTCCATCACTTAATTTTTGTTTCTACTTTTATGTTCTGAAAAGTTTCGTTCAATGGCCCAACTTTGTATTCCATGAAATCCGGTGGAGTAATTGCTCCACGAGCAACGTTTTACTTGAGCAAATCTTCCCGGGAAAAGGACCGCCGTTGTCAAGGTGATCAAGAGCATGCGACTTCTTAACCGGATATAAAGACACGTGTGCTGCCCTATTTTCTGTCAAAGAATAACCTTCAGGAGATATATATCCGCGAACCTCGAGTACTTTTAAAGTCAATTTTATCTCTTCAATAGTTAATGGCGCGAACAAACGACAGTTTAGTTTCATTTCCAGACGATAAGTTTGGATTTCGTGTCGGGCACGTTCTGCATTCGTCACCTGAATTTTCGGTAGTGACTTCTTCCGGTGCCACAGTCGTACATACACACGTGTCTTCTACGTTTGTCTCCGATGTTTGTATAGGAACTTGTGTTGTTTCTTGAGCAGTGGTTGGTGAAAGCGTAGTTTGTTTCATCATGAACGACCCGGATTGCTTTGCAATATTTTGACTTATTTGATTTGGACGCGGAAGAGCAAAACGCCCGATTATAATACCTAAAGCAATACCGATGAAAAAAACGATGGGACATAAAACGGCAAACACACAGTATGGCCCATTGCTCGTTTTATGCTTAGCACCAGAACCTGTTCTGTGAAGTTTCTTCGAGTACGCCTCTGTTGAGTTTGTCCATGGACCGGAAGTCTGGTTATGTGCATTGCCATTGACATGCCTACTGTGATGATCTTGCAGTTCTATGTTTGAAAATTGCTCCCTCGATTCTGACATGGTAACTTCCGGTTCTTCACTACATCTGAAATGTAAGGCAATAGTTATAACTAGTATGTATACACTGTCGGGTACGTGAAACGGTGCAGATTTTCCGTGATACGGTGCTTACATCCAATATGGAGGAAGGTAAACAACAAGAAAGTACGTGTAATTTTATTTCTATGTATTTAGACAAATCCGTTTATATTGTAAAAGAAGAATATTTGCATGTAACGTAAAAATAAATCCACTATAAGATCAATAAGTTCACAATGTATGTAACATATGATATATATGAATTTTTAACAAAAGACATTTGTAAATAAAGAAATCATGTACATTTATTTACCAACGTTTTTTTGTGAAAAAACAACATTTATATTATATGTTACATACATTGCGAACTTATTGATCTTATAGTGGATTTATTTTTACGTTACATGCAAATATTCTTCTTTTACAATATAAAATGGATTTGTCCAATTACATAGAAAATAAAATGAGACGTACCTCTTAGTTGTTTACCTTCCTCCATATTGGATGGAAGCACCGTATCACGGAAAATCTGCACCGTCTCACGTACCCGACAGGGGTATAGTCAGTCATGTTGTTTAAAGTAGTCATGATTTATTATGTACAAAAAGTGTTTACTTTATGTGATATAGGAAGTCAATTAGGCATATCTTACCAAAGCATTTAATACAAAACATTTACTATGAAGACTTTTTTGATAAAATAGTTCTGTTTTTTTTTAACTAATTAGTTATGAAATGTTTTAATTCAGTCATTTTATCTGGTATTTTAATAAATATTTTTGATAAAGAATTAAATCTCTATTAAATCCTTTTCGATATAGATCTCATGTTTGTCAATATTTAAGCAATTCAGTCCTGAACAAAGTATGTGAACCTTGAATTAATTAAGGTGATTTATATCTCAATTCTTTATTGCTACATACTTATATATATCGTCGATCAAACGGGTAAAAAAATACCATTAGGGAAAAACAATTAACAATCGTCAGGTTGAAATAAATGTATGCTAAGGCCAGACCAAATAGATGTTACAACAATCGTATACAGCTTTAAGAATGAATGAATGCATGAGTGAATGAGTGAGTGAGTGAGTGAGTGAGTGAGTGAGTGAGTGAGTGAGTGAGTGAGTGAGTGAGTGAGTGAGTGAGTGAGTGAGTGAGTGAGTGAGTGAGTGAGTGAGTGAGTGAGTGAGTGAGTGAGTGAGTGAGTGAGTGAGTGAGTGAGTGAGTGAGTGAGTGAGTGAGTGAGTGAGTGAGTGAGTGAGTGAGTGAGTGAGTGAGTGAGTGAGTGAGTGAGTGAGTGAGTCAGTCAGTCAGTCAGTCAGTCAGTCAGTCAGTCAGTGAGTGAGTCAGTGAGTGAGTCAGTGAGTGAGTCAGTGAGTGAGTCAGTGAGTGAGTGGATCGGTGGGTAGGTCGGTGAGTGAGTGAGTCAGTGGATGGACGGACGGAAGTGCCCACAATTGGGGTTTATTTGCTTTTTCTTTGACCTTTATGTGGCATTTTTTCCCCATAAACTAGTATAATTACCACATAAACCAGTCGGTTTATGGGATTTCCTTCTTTTTTTTTAACTAAAATTTATGGACGGAATGAAGCTCATAGACCATTAATTGGATGTTCGCCCCGGACAAACGAATGAATGGCTGTTTAGGTGGATGGAAATTTTTGCAACCCCAGATGCAAGTTTATTTGCAACGCATGGTCTATAGGCTCCAAGTACTGAAATGACGAGTTGAAGATAGAATAAACCTGTACACGGACACTCATCCTTTACTGTCAAATGAATGCGCTCGTACGCACAAACGAATTAATATTTTAGTATTACGCATAGACCTGTATAAATCTATTTCAGAAACTAAGATTTTTGTTTCTTTATGTAAAGTAAATCATTTAATCTTTTTTTAGTTTAATACCATAAGTACTAATGAAGCTACCTTCCGATTTTTACAACATTTACCTTCCTTTACAAAAGTGGCGGCCATTTTGGAGGTCAATATTCTTTATAGTTTCATTGACAATATAATATTATTACATGTTTGCTGTGTAAACATATTCCTTCTACTGATATACCTAAATCGGTCTTTCATTAAATGTTTATTCCGCATCAGTAGCCAAAAAGCTCAAATCTCCGCAGGTATATTTCGTTATATTTCTATAGCCAAGTGTATTTCAATGGCCATATGTAAATTGTTTTCCACATAAAAAGACCCATGACAGATAATCAGTCAAATAAACACCTCAATATAGGCCTGTCTTTAGTATATCTAGCTAGTCTATATGAGCCGTGTCACGACAAAACCAACATAATGGGTTTGCGACCAGCATGGATCCAGACAAGTCTGCGCATCCGCGCAGTCTGATCAGGATCCATGCTGTCCGCTTACAAACCCTATAACAAGTAGAGAAACTGATAGCGAACAGCATGGATCCTGATCAGACTGCGCGGATGCGCAGGCTGGTCTGGATCCATGCTGGTCGCAAACGCATTATGTTGGTTTTGTCATGACACGTCTCATATGTGGTTTTCTCGTGTCATTCATTACTTTATGACTCAATGTGAGTATTAATTCACAACAAAATATTGCGGAACTTCTTTTTGTTCCAGAATAGTATGTAGTAGTATTTTATAACTTACAGTTTCATCAGGGTAACTTATATTTTAATTAGGTTTTAGGTGATATCAAAACTTTTAAGGGCTTATTATACGTGTATGTGTCTATTTTTATATTTTGTTACGGACACCTTAGGCTCACCTTTAATGAGAGGCACGTGTTTAGGCACCGACATTCTATAAGTTACAGAATAAGTTAAGTAACATGGAGAGCTTTTCCAGCATTAAATATTTAGTTATATTTTAAAATTAGATATGCCCAAATATTTCCAAAGAACTACTTTGTATCGCGGTGTAATCGGCCACGCATGCTGCCAGGTCGTTTATTTACCATGAATGATTTCTGAAAAACATTTGGCACTGTATTCATGAGAATTTGTATGAGTAAAATTGAAAATAATTTGCTAATATCCTTTAAACATTTGACATAGAAATTCTTTAGAATAATCGTCTCGTTTGTTAATGAAGTTATATTACAATTGTGACAGGTTTTATTCAAAGTATAATTCCATTTTGAAACTTTGACATTACATTTTGCATTGAATGTAAATTCATTTACCACGCTTTGGTGCTATTGTTCAATATGTGTTAATTAGCTTCCTTTTCGCAATTAAGGTGAACCTTTCCCCTGTTTAGATATAATTTGTCACAAACCGTGCAGTGAACTCAACTTAAAAAAGTCAGTGGTGAATAGCTAATTATGGTAAATATAAAGAAATAACGAAAAATGCACATTTTCTTTCTCTATCTGCGCTTGCGATTCATTTCATGGACAGTTTTCTCATTTCTAATAAACATAGTTTATATTTAACACATCTATACCATAATAAAACGTTAATCCATGTATATATTGTAAAATTAAAATGTATTGCGAGAGATTAGATTTCGTTAAATTCGCGAAGTGAAGATTTTCGCAAAACTAAAAAACTAAATTCTCGCAAGCACCTACCAAATATAATTGTTTGCAAAGTATATTCTGTATATGTTTGAGAGAACTGAAAGAAGTCAATCTGGAATATTTAATCCCGCCAATGAATCCGAAATGTTGTTTTCGCGAAATGTGTGCCTTGCAAACATATCTTGTTTTATAGTAATGAACTGCGTCCGTATATTTGAAATGGCCAAGTCAAAGTTACTACGTGCAAGAAGGTACCTATAGCATAATATATATGAAATATAGTCAGAATAGTTTGTTTGTTTGTTTGTATTGTTGTTTGTTTGTTTGTTTGTTTGTTTGTTTGTTTGTTAAACACATTTTTATCATATCTTTGCGGTCGATCCACCTAATCGGCTTCGAATTCCCTGTTTAACTAACCTGTACTTACAAGTGACCGATTACTAATCCCACATGATTCCTGAATCGACAGAGTAACATATGACCATTAGAATCTATGTCAAAAATTAATTGTCAAGGAGAAATTGCGGCTCGCCCGACCCCTGTATTACTTTCCAGATGCTTTACCATTTTAGCAAATTAGCCAGACTTTTCCGAATATCTTCAGACAAATAAATGAAATTAAAAAATCCATTAAAGTGGATTGGTCTACAACGGGCAAATTTTCCATACGTATCTAAAATGTTTACAATATAATAGAAATGTAATTATAAAGTATTACTAGCAAGTTTCTAAATTATTTAGTATGAGCATTATATATAGTGAATAATTATACTTTGTGCTAGAACAATTCAATACCTGAAATATAAATACTAATAAATGTAGTATTATTTAATGTATCACAAACCTTCCGCCAATCCGGTATAGACCAATTCACTTTAAAGAACACTATTCGCCTCAAGATAATAATTATGTTTCATACTGCATGTAAAGGTTATATAAATCATTACCTTATGAATTATCGGTTTAATTACTTATGACATTTGTATATTTCCTTAGTCACTCTCGCCTAAAAAGTGACTGTACACTATATATACTCAGTGATATGGGAGTAGCAATAGATATGATTTGTTAGTCAGCAGCAGCAGCAACAACAACAACAACAACAACAAAAACAACAATTAACAGGCACCAACAAAAAAGTTAACATTTAAGAAAAAAAAAAGCGAGAGCATTGAGTAATGTATGAATATGGTTGATCAATTATATTCTCATCGATTTTGTATAGTATTTTACTTAGATTGTAATTGTAAATATAGTTAAAGTAAACGAGTAGTACTCATATATTACAAAAAAATAACTGCATGGGGTGTGATTTTGCTTGCCCACTCCACTGTGTCTAAATACAAAATATATGATATATAAATGAGAAATAAAACTGTTCATTTGAAATATAAGAGAAAACCACTTAAATTTGCTTTAAAATACTTTAAGCATACAGGCATGAAATTGGCCGTCTTTCTCCCATTCATTGGTTAGGCACTTGACTAACTCAACTGATCGCGATGACCTGTGAAGTTGCATGTACATGTTTATTTACTATTTACATTTGAATTTGTTTACAAAAAAAGTCCTTACCCAATTTATTTATAGCAACGCATTTGGAAAAAATCAATAATACAAATCAAAATATACATATACATGAATACATGCATATTTGCATATATACAATATGTTATTAAATATTCTGATATTAACCAAGTCTATACATAATTATGTTATATACTTACACTAATGATAAATATCCAAACTATATTAATCATAATTACTCCAAATTATAAATATATAATCTATCCACGATACATAAGGCATTATATAAATTTACTACGCTTGTCCCGTATGTAAAACACGTGAAGTGGTATTCCGCAAAAATTCACGGTCCGTTACCATGCAAGCGTTTCTCCCTAGGGTGTAATATTTACACACTTCCGTATAAGATAGATAAATATCTATATAAAACACTTTATCAATTATTACTATAATTATGGTGAGATATGGACGTGTAATTAGTAAATGATACCACGTTGAAAACATATCTTACTCATTGACAGAGGAGGGGACGTTAATTAGTGGTACAGTGGAGCCTTGCTAATCCGAACCCTTCTAATCCGGAATCCTTTCTAATCCGAACGAAGTGGCCGGTCCCGATTTTATTCGTTCTATTTTCAATAGTAAAAAACCTTTCGGATCCGGAACCTGTCTACTCCGAATTCCGGACGATTTTTTTAATTTTTGTCCTTATTTTACTATAATATTTACCTCTCGGATCCGAACAGATTTTGCCAAATGTCACACCTTCATTCAAAATAACAAATAATCGCAGATCTTGCAGGTGTAAACATACACCAAACTGATATGTGTTATTTCGCTTGATTAATGGGTGAAACGTATGATCTGTGAAGGTGTGAAAATTACACTTATATTGCCTTGACATCTTCTATAATTGCTTAATTGATTGTTTTTCGTCAGCTTCTATAAATATTTTGATATAATTCAAAAGAAATATCTTTTAATCCTTTGTAATGGATTCAATGATACGTGATTAAGTAATGAAAATTAATGGAAACTGTCAGTGAATTCGGATAGTCGCTGATTCGGATATGAGTAAACAACAATTGACAAATGCTGGTACGAATATTCAATCATGTCTCGGCCTCCTGTTTCACATCGTAGGTTAACTTACGCTTGAGGACATAATATTTTTGCTTATTTATTTATTTTTATTTCTTTATTTTTGTATTCACATCATAAAATGAACGATAAGAGACTGCAAAAATAAAATATCTAAATTGCAATTTCAAATGCATTCCCGTTTTCTTTCCTTAAACTATTTTGCAAATAACATGAAAAAACATGTAAAAAAACCTTCTAATTCGGAAACCTTTCTGATCCGGAAACCTTTCTAATCCGAACTTTTCTTCTGGTCCGGACGAGTTCGGATTAGACAGGTTCCACTGTATTTACCAGTAATTATTATACATCAGATATCAGGTGTTAAACATCAACTATATGTCGATTGTAAAAAGATACTAAAGTAACGCCGATTATATCGCATCTAAATGCGATATGAAAGTTATTTAGTGCCTATAGTTAAAAATAAAAATTAAACAGACTGTAAAAGTGAATTAAATATTCCTTATTATTACTGTTATAATCCTCACGATGATGATGATGATGTTGATTATGATGATAATAAGGCTTATATTTACTCGTAACTTATATCAAAGCTCTTTTAACATGCACAATTTAATATATATATATATTTTTTTTGCATTTACAATATTTTTTTTATAACAACTAACTTTTATTTTTCTGCAAACAAGCTTAGGTGTGATTGAGTCTGTTCATGAAAGATCATATGTTAACACCCCCCCCCCCTCAGCGGCTGAAGGGTATTCAATCTCCAACACTATAAGTACTGGAACTTTTTATAGCTGCCACCCTGCTGTTGGGAAGTAAAACGTTAAAGAAAAATCATGAATGCGCTTGTAGAAAGGATATTTTACATTATAACATTCACTTTATCCGGTGAGATATATTTGATATTAATTGTCGCATACATTAGAATACTTATAGAAATGTTATAACTTTCCACAGGAAGTAGGCAGACTAAAAAAAGTGTAAAGAATAAAGTATCGGACTTTAATTGATGCGTAGCGTTTTTGAATTTACATGCACGGTTGAAACCGGTGCTAGGGGGGCGGTAGCGTGAGAGCTGTTATAGTTGCCGTTTGCACTCGTGTACAGATTCATATAAAGCGAGTCTGTAATTTTCACATTTTTGTTTTGTTTTTATTGTCCTCGGCATATCTCCAAAGTTTTCAAAATAAATGTAAAGCTATGTCAAAGTATCAGGCCGATTTGATATTTCATTTATGACCATTTCAGTGCAAGGTGCATGTGAGAGTGGCTGGGTACAGTTTCAAGACTCGTGTTATACTCTCGTGACGGCATTTAGACAGTGGACGGACGCTAAGGTTTCATTTTTTTTTCATTCTTTTTAAAAACATATCTTTATTCAGCGAAAGATTATAACCTTGTCATACACAAAATTGATGTAATTGTAATCATTGCACTGTGAAAAAAAAATTTCACTGACGGCATATTTTTTGTTCTGACGACATAACCATTCTGACGACATAATAATTGTACTGGTGACATAATCATTGTACTGACGGCATAATCATTGTACTGATAACATAATCATTGAATTGTGACATTACCGTTGTAATGTGATTTAATCAGTGTGCTGTGACATAATCTGTGTACTAACGACATTATCATTGAACTGTGACATAATCGTTGTAATGTGACGCAATCATTGTAATACCGACATAATCATGCATTGCACTGACGACAAAATAATTGTACTGGTGACATAATCATTGTACTGACGACATAATCATTGTACTGATGACATAATCATTGTACTGACGACATAATCATTGTACTGATGACATAATCATTAAACTGTGTCATAATCGTTGTAATGAACTGTGACATAATCAGTGTACTGACGACATGATCATTGTACTGACGACATAATCATTGTACTGACGACATAATCATTGTACTGATGACATAATCATTAAACTGTGTCATAATCGTTGTAATGAACTGTGACATAATCAGTGTACTGACGACATGATCATTGTACTGACGACATAATCATTGTACTGACGACATAATCATTGTACTAACGACATAATCATTGTACTGACGACATGATCATTGTACTAACGACATAATCATTGTACTGACGACATAATCATTGTACTGACGACATAATCATTGTACTGATTACATAATCATTGTACTGATGACATAATCATTTTACTGAAGACATCATCACTGTGACGAAGACATAATCATTGAATAATTTTTGAACTTGTTGCACCATTTCATAAACTGTTTTTGGCAGGTTAAAAGTGAGACCATCTGAAAAATATGTGCAAATTGTTGTATGTTGTTCAAAATATCGTTAGTTTGAAATAAATTAAGCGATTTCGAGTTAACCAACTTAACAATAATCGCTAAGGATCACGCATGCAAAATATCAATTCGGGCCTGTTCTTAAGACAGTTACAGGCTTCTAACGTAAAAATACTGCCGTGGTAGGTACGAATAACACTTTGTAGTGTGTAACATAACAGACAAGGCACCTGTCATCACTAGCGCCGGTTATATGGTGTGTAAATCAATTTGTAAAGTTGACAAGTCCTGCGAAAAAGGTCAAACAGCAACAACAACGACCGTTAATTAGCACTGTTGAATTCCCTCACTGCTTATGACACAATCCAATTTCTTTTGACCGTTCATGTTTCATAAATTACGTTACCTTTATTTAGCAAAGTAATTTATTATCCCGTTGACTCACTCATATGACTAACTTATGAATAAACATTGTTTTTGGGGATCTGTATGAGGTAAATACGTAGAATGTTAATCCCTAACGTAAAGTGACGTTATAAACACGTATTAAGTGGTTATACTGTTGTTTTAATTAAAGGCCCATTGTGCCTCAGAAATACAATCATTTTTATTTCTGAAAAGCTTTTTTGGTATCTTGTTACAGTTTCTAAAAAACACACGCATTTGCTATATACTTGAACTATCTTTTGCGTCTATATTTTCGTATAGCTGTATAGCTATAGTTCTGTTGGCAATTAGTATTTCATATAGAAGTCAACATTGTGGCGCCGTTATATGTCGCAACACCGCTAAATGTCGAATTTACCGCTAAATATCGCACCATTGCCGCTAAATGTCGCAAGTGAGTGAGTGAGTCAGTCAGTCAGTCAGTCAGTCAGTCAGTGAGTGAGTGAGTCAGTGAGTGAGTCAGTGAGTGAGTCAGTGAGTGAGTCAGTGAGTGAGTGGATCGGTGGGTAGGTCGGTGAGTGAGTGAGTCAGTGGATGGACGGACGGAAGTGCCCACAATTGGGGTTTATTTGCTTTTTCTTTGACCTTTATGTGGCATTTTTTCCCCATAAACTAGTATAATTACCACATAAACCAGTCGGTTTATGGGATTTCCTTCTTTTTTTTTAACTAAAATTTATGGACGGAATGAAGCTCATAGACCATTAATTGGATGTTCGCCCCGGACAAACGAATGAATGGCTGTCTGGGTGGATGGTAATTTTTGCAACCCCAGATGCAAGTTTATTTGCAACGCATGGTCTATAGGCTCCAAGTACTGAATAGACGAATTGAAGATAGAAACCTGTACACGGACACTCATCCTTTACTATCATTTACCGCATAGACCTATATAAATTTATTTCAGAAACTAAAATTTTTATTTATGTAAAGTTCTAATCTTTTTTAGTTTAATACCATAAGTACTAATGTAGCTACCTTCCGATTTTTACAACATTTACCTTCCTTTACAAAAGTGGCGGCCATTTTGGAGGTCAATATTCTTTATAGTTTCATTGACAATATAATATTATTACATGTTTGCTGTGTAAACATATTCCTTCTACTGATATACCTAAATCGGTCTTTCATTTTATGTTTATTCCGCATCAGTAGCCAATAAGCTCACATCTCCGCAGGTATTTTGTTATATTTCTATAGCCAAGTGTATTTCAATGGCCATATGTAAATTGTTTTCCACATAAAAAAGACCCATGACAGATAATCAGTCAAATAAACACCTCAATATAGGCCTGTCTTTAGTATATCTAGCTAGTCTATATGAGCCGTGTCACGACAAAATCAACATAATGGGTTTGCTACCAGCATGGATCCAGACAAGTCTGGGCATCCGCGCAGTCTGATCAGGATCCATGCTGTCCGCTTACAAACCCTATAACAAGTAGAGAAACTGATAGCGAACAGCATGGACCCTGATCAGACTGCGCGGATGCGCAGGCTGGTCTGGATCCATGCTGGTCGCAAACGCATTATGTTGGTTTTGTCATGACACGTCTCATATGTGGTTTTCTCGTGTCATTCATTACTTTATGACTCAATGTGAGTATAAACAACCAAAGATTGCGGAACTTCTTTTTGTTCCAGCATAGTACATAGTTTATTCATGTGGTAGTATTTTATGACTTACAGTTTCATCAGGGTAACTTATATTTTCATTAGGGTTTAAGTGACATCAAAATTTGAAAGGGCTTACATGTATGTCTATTTTATATTTTGTTACGGACACCTTAGGCTCACCTTTAATGAGAGGCACGTGTTTAGGCACCGACATTGCAAAAGTAACACAATAAGTTAAGTAATACGGAGAGCTTTTCCGGCATTAAATATTTGGTAATATTTTAAAATTAGATATGCTCAAATATTTCCAAAGAACTACTTTGTATCGCGGTGTAATCGGCCAGGCATGCTGCCAGGTCGTTTATTTCTGAAAAACATTTGGCAATGTATTCACGAGCAATTGTATGAGTAAAATTAAAAATAATTTGCTAATATCCTTTAAACATTGGACATAGAAATTCTTTAGAATAATCGTCTCGTTTGTTAATGAAGTTATATTACAATTGTGACAGGTTTTATTCAAAGTATAATTCCATTTTGAAACTTTGGCATTACATTTTGCATTGAATGTAAATTCATTTACCACGCTTTGGTGCTATTGTTCAATATGTGTTAATTAGCTTCCTTTTCGCAATTAAGGTGAACCTTTCCCCTGTTTAGATATAATTTGTCACAAATCGTGCAGTGAACTCAACTTAAAAAAGTCAGTGGTGAATAGCTAATTATGGTAAATACAAAGAAATAACGAAAAATGCACATTTTCTTTCTCTATCTGCGCTTGCGATTCATTTCATGGACATTTTTCTCATTTCTAATAAACATAGTTTATATTTAACACAACTATACCATAATAAAACGTTAATACATGTATATATTGTAAAATTAAAATGTATTGCGAGAGATTAGATTTCGCTAAATTCGCGAAGTGAAGATTTTCGCAAAACTAAATTCTCGCAAGCATCTACCAAATATAACTGTTTGCAAAGTATCTTCTGTATATGTTCGAGAGAACTGAAAGAAGTCAATCTGGAATATTTAATCCCGCCAATGAATCCGAAATGTTGTTTTCGCGAAATGTGTGCCTTGAAAAAATATCTTGTTTTATAGTAATGAACTGCGTCCGTATATTTGAAATGGCCGAGTCAAAGTTACTACGAGCAAGAAGGTACCTATAGCATAAGATATATGAAATATAGTCAGAATAGTTTGTTTGTTTGTTTGTATTGTTGTTTTGTTTGTTTGTTTGTTTGTTTGTTTGTTTGTTAAACACATTTTTATCATATCTTTGCGGTCGATCCACCTAATCGGCTTCGAATTCCCTGTTTAACTAACCTGTACTTACAAGTGACCGATTACTAATCCCACATGATTCCTGAATCGACAGAGTAACATATGACCATTAGAATCTATGTCAAAAATTAATTGTCAAGGAGAAATTGCGGCTTCGCCCGACCCCTGTATTACTTTCCAGATGCTTTACCATTTTAGCAAATTAGCCCAGACTTTTCCGAATATCTTCAGACAAATAAATGAAATTAAAAAAATCCATTAAAGTGGATTGGTCTACAACGGGCAAATTTTCCATACGTATCTAAAATGTTTACAATAATAATAGAAATGTAATATTAAGATATTCTTATAAATTATTACTAGCAAGTTCTAAATTATTTAGTATGAGCATTATATATAGTGAATAATTATACTTTGTGCTAGAACACTTCAATACCTGAAATATAAATACTAATAAATGTAATATTATTTAATGTATCACAAACCTTCCGGTATAGACCAATTCACTTTAAAGAACACTATTCGCCTCAAGATAATATGTTTCATTCTGCATGTAAAGGTTATATAAATCATTGCTTTAATTTATTATCGGTTTAATTACTTATGACATTTGTGTGTTTCCTTAGTCACTCTCGCCTAAAAAGTGACTGTTCACTTTACACAGTAATATGGGAGTAGCAATAGATATGTT